TGAAACGAGCTTGGAGGTTCCGCTATAGGAGAGTCTACTCCGGAGGCAGTAGGGGCCGTCATAGCCTAACGAAGGGTCACGTTCAGAGTCACCTTAAGGTCTGCGTTTTGTCGGGTTCCGAGTTCCTTAAATGCTCGGATAGGTACCACGCAAGAATGGAGGACGAGAACTGGGGAGATATGGTTCTAATGGAGCGGAGTCTAAACATAGTTTCAGCGATTGTGTTATGCAGAAGTCCCAGGCGCGGTCTGTAGTCGCCGTTCCCTTAGCAGTTGGGCTAGCCGTGGTAGGAGAGGCACCGGTACTACCCTCGTCGCTAATGATGTCCCCAAACAAGTTGCTCGTCACGACGACGCCGTTCAAGCCCCTCGGGTTCTTGACCATGATCATGGCCGCGCTGTCAATCAGCTGGTGCTCGACCGTCAGGTCCGGAAACTCCCTGGCAAACGTCTCCGTCATGACCTTGCGCCACAGGCGGCTCGTGGCCAGCACGTTGGCCTTGTCCAGCGACCACACCCTCTTCTCGCCGCGGCCCCGCGCCAGGAAGCCCGCCAGCCTGGCCACGCGCTCGACCTCGCCGCGCGAGTACGGCTCCGTGTCCCACGCCCGGCCGGACCCGTCGTCGTCCTCCTTGCGCTCCCCAAAGTAGATGCCGCCCGTCAGCTCCCGCACAATGACAAAGTCGGTGCCGCGGCAGACGTCGGCCTTGAGCGGCGACGAGTCGACCAGCGCGTCGGACGCGAAGAAGCACGGGCGCAGGTTGCCGTACGTGCCCATCTCCTTGCGCAGGCGCAGGAGCCCCTGCTCGGGGCGGACGGCGCCGGTGCCCCATTTGGGGCCGCCGATGGCGCCGAGGAGGACCGCGTCGGCGGCGTTTGCGGCCGCGAGGGCCTCGTCCGTTAGGGGGGTGCCGGTTGCGTCGATGGAGCACTGCGGTGATGGTGATGATGGCTTCGCGTCAGCTTATTTGCAGGAGGGGAATGGGGGGAAGGACAGGAAGGGGAGAGGGGAGGGAAGAGAGAGCGCTTACGCCGCCGAGGAGGTGGTCTTTGAGGTTGAATTTGCCGGCGCTGGGGCTGTGTTGCTCGATGGCCTTGAGAACCTGCAGTGTAACCCATGTCAGCTTCATTTCAAGAGGAGCAAGCAAAGCATAAACGCAACAGCACATGGTAGCGATAGCAGAAAGCTACGCAATGCCTGCGATATTGCTCTGGATCTGAAGCTCCAGTTTGCACAAACCTTGACAGCCTCAGCAATGACCTAGAGTAGATTTCACAGTCAGCGACATCAATCAAAATCTCCCAGCCCCCAAACCCCAAATCCTCAAGCTGCAAAAAAAGGGAGCAAGCAGGAAGAGGAAAAGAGGACAAGGGAAACAATGACATACCTCAGGACCGGCATGGTCTCCCGCAAACACGACAATATTGTGCTCCGCCATTGTTTCAGTTTGTTTCCTCGTATGTCTGTTATTCTTCCAATTGAATCAGACAACAATCACTGAAGAGGGAATATTCGGAAATGCAAATGAATTGGAGAAGAAGGGCAACAAAGATGGCAACGAAAAGCATCAATCAAATAGGTGGTTACTACGTACTCCAAAAAGCTTCCAAAACAGAACAAAAGTGCCGAAGTCGGCCGCCGAACCACCGGACGAGCTGCGCTGCCCCGCTTTCGGCCCTCGTTCTTCCCTTTCCCTTTACCTTGGATATTACAGCTCTTCTCTAGTAAATACCTTTCACTACTGCTAATCTATACGTCCGTGTTGAGACTCTCATACGTAAAATCATATTGAATCGACGACGAAATGGTAGGGACTGGGCCGAAAATACCCAGAACCCGGGACCTTGGCTATCAAGAATAGAGCTGAGATGATGTGTTGGGTTTTGAGCTTTTGGACGGCTTAGCATGTATGTGCCCTCCTCCTTAGTGCTTCCATCTGGGTCTATCTATTTGTATGTTGGATGTCATTTTTGTAGTTGTGATTAACGCCGAATCTGCTGAGTCTGTCAAATAGAGATGTTCTTGTCTCATGGCTGTGATGGCTCCTCTATCAAATGGCAGCTGTTCAGTCTCGCCATGTCTGCGAAACTCGGCCTCTCCAGAAGCTCCCCTCATCCCCTCAGTGGAGCAGCGTCGACGTAATTCCTCAACCCCAGCTCGACTTACATAACAAGCTTTCTAGCCTCATGCCGTGGCTCCAAGCTTTCTGCAGCTCCTCTCTTCTACAGCTTCAGCTCCAGCTCCAAGCTTCACAGCTTCGTTACTCTGTCTGATTTCCCCCCATGAAATATCAGTTGTAATTAGGGTACTAAGGTAGTATATCCACTCTTCCCTTTGTATAAAGTCCCAGGAGCAGCAAGTCGTCTTCGGCAGAGAGCCCTGCTTTAATCTTATTCAACATAAATGCATAAAAACCCGTTGCCCAGCATGCCCAGCATTGCCTCCGCCTGCTTGTTGTTTCTGTAAAGTCATATAACATGTAATTCTTTCTTTGATTCCACCTCTTTCGACACCACCCTCTCCATCCCTCTCGCACGCAATCATCGAAGAGTCCGGAGCGTCTTGTTCGGTAGAGAGAACAACGCCGAGTGTCCCCCACTGCTCGCCCGCCCGCTGTGTTGCTGCTGCTGAGCTCGCCGTGCGGCAACGTTGGGCGTATTGGCACAGTAGCCGCAGATGTACACGCTGGGCATGGTACGCCTGCTGATGTTGACGCATTTCCCGTGCAGCCACATCTCGCATGACTCGCTACAACAAGGCTGCATGTCAGCAAGGCTCAGTGCAACTTCTCCCAATGGCTGACAGCAACATCAAAAGCAAGGACAAAAGGCGGTTGGGTCAGACATACCACTGAAGCATGTAGCCGTTCTCTTCATCGGCCTCATTTCTACTGCATACGCACCGGATTCGGTGTCCATCCATCCTGTAGCTCGAATCTGCCATGCTGATGGGGGGAGAAATTGCTTTGAAGTTCCCGGAGCTGCTTGGGCCGAGAATGCGTTGCTGTGATCGGACATTCTCCATCTGCAGGGACCGCTTCTGACGGTCTTCCACCACTTTACGCAGCTCACTCGCCGCATCACCTCCTCTTTCTTGATGATCAGTCATGATCGTCTCCGGGTCGCTATCCCCATCGATGGGCGTTACCAGAGAAGGTGTCGAAGCACTCCTGCTCCTATCGCTGATGCTCCGCCGGCCAGAGTGAAAGATGGACCCCACGGGCTTGCGCGGGTCTGGCAGTGCAAACGATGCGTTGCACGAATTCGCTCGGCTGGGTATGATGATTGGCTCCTCGTCCGTGGACGAGTCGTCATCGGACGACTCCCAACTTCTTCGCGAGGCTGACAGCTCCCGAGAGCTTCGACTGCGAGTTATGCCGCCGGCGTCCTCCATCGTCACCGTCGTCTCCGCCCGAGCCCGACCGTGTGCGTCTATGGTAAACCTCACCGACGTTCGAGGTCGATGCAGCTGTGGCTGGGAAGCACTCTCGGGAATTGACGCTAGGCTTGACAGTCGTCGTTGACTCTTGAGAGGCGACATCCTCCCCGACCGCGCCGCCGGCTTTCCGGCATCGACGTTTGCGTTGTTGCCATTACTCCCAGCCTGCGACGCGGGCCGTGAAGCGGGTGCCAACGTCGGCAGTGCCCCCCGCCCATTGGCCTTCTTTCCTCGGTTATCGCTCACGCTGCGGTTCAGTTCCGGACGGCCCATGGCCTTGACGGGAGAGGCCGTAAAGGTACGGTCTGGCATCTTGCCCCTCTTTGTCTCCTTCAGGCTGTTCGTCCGGCGAGGTTGTGCCATTATGCGAGAGCTACCGGCTTCCGCAGTGGCAACCATGTTGGCAGACACTGCGTTCATGGCCGGATTGAAGTCGGCATTCATCGAGGACGTCGTGGGTCGGCTGTATATCAATCCCGGGTCTACGCCCTCCATCGGCGTGACCAGGCCAAACGAGTCGTCCACCGGCGCTTGGAACATGGCCGTTCCCGTCACGGGGGCGGCCGACTGCCCAGTGACGGGCGGCTTGGGCGCCAGCATCCTCTCCCTTCGGAGGGGCTGGTGCTGCATATTGGGGGCGTTGGGCTGGACATTCTCTTGGTTCGACGACGGCGGCGGCGCAGGCGGGACGGGATCTTGAAAGAGCTGAATATCGCTGTTCCAGTCGAAGGATCCGGTGTGCCGATGCGAGGGCTGGAAAAAGGCGGCGCCGGCGGAGCTAAAATCCAAGTCCATGCCCATAGCCGGGTCCCAGAAGTTGGCGGTGCTCGGGGGAGCAGACATTGGATAGACAAACATGTCGTCGGCGCCGCCCATCATGGCGGCCATGTCGTGGTGGCCCTGGAAGCCGTCGCCAAAGTCCGGGTGGCCGTAGGCCCGGTCATCTTGCATGTTGACCTTGGGGGCGAGCTTCGGGCCGCCCTTGTGAGCCGACGGCGGCGGCGACAGAGGCTGGGCGGCGTCGGAGCCTTCAATTGTACCCCGGCGGACCTTCTTGGGCGACTTGGCGTGCGACGAGGAAAAGGCAGGGCCGAGGTGTGCGTCCGAGTTGGCCGCGGCGGCCTTTGTCGACAGTATCAGGGCGGCGGGCGACGAGGGCAGGCGTCGTGACGGGTCGACGGGCGGCGGCGGGAGGTTGGGGTTCGACGGCGGGATGTTGGCTCGGGTGGCAATCTCGACGGCCAGCTCCTCGACGGACAGCAGGCGCTTGTGGCCCAGATACGACGTCGCAAAGGGCGTGGCGGGCACGAGGTCGGCGAAGGGGAACTGGGCCCCTCGCAGGTTGCCCGGCGTGGCGTTGAAGACGGAGTACTCTTCGGCGAAGCGAGGCGTCAGGCCGCTGGCGTCGGCAAAGGAGCCCTGGGGGGGCTTTGGCGTCTCGAAGATGGGGCTCGGAAAGGCGCCGGCCGTGGGCGTCTGCTTGGGCGTGGGCGGCGGGTGAGCGTTTGGATCTCCAAAGCTGCTGCTGTGCGGAGTCAGAGAGACGAGGTTAGCCAGACTGGTGGAGGGAGCGGAGGGCAGGCATGCTTTAGAGTGTTCGCAAGGCGGACATGCCTTGATACTAGCTGTTGATCCTCGCTCATATCAGCTTGAATTCCTGTTGGCTATGATAACCCAGACACAAGCATCCCAGTGCGTGCACCGCCAATTCGGGCCGTGGGGGGGCAGGAAGCAGCCCAGGGGAAATAGACACAGTATTGGCAGAGGGCAGAGAATTGTATAAAGAGTAGCAAGGGAGGCGTTTCAATTCCCCTTGTCTGGGCCGAAATATGTAGTGCAGATGTGGTCTGATGTATATGTGCCCGGTCTTTTGTTCAACTTTTTTTTTGTTTCTTCTTCCTTTGCGTAGAGGGAGGGCGGTATAACAAGTTCAGATTCAAATCCAAAGGGTGCGTGAAAGCCGTACAGGCGACGGTCGAAGGTGGTCCTCGTTGTTACTGCTGTGTGTTTGCTTGGGCAGAATTGGTGTACAATCGCAGTGGCTCGTTTCTCATTATCCAAAAGTGCTCGTTAACGGGTCATGACAAGATGCAAAAAAGGTCGTAGGCAGCAAAAGAGTTCCGGCACTTGGCTCTGCAGAAGGCAAAGGGGGTCCTGGGAGAAGAAGGAAAAGAAGAGGAAGATGCAAAAAAAGACGGGAGATGGGCAAAAAAAGAACAGCTGGTCTTGTTAGCTTGCCTGCTGCGGTTCACCCAAAGGAGCTTCTGCCAGATGAAGAGGAAAAGGCGTGAAAAAGGGAGTGCATTGGAGGGGAGGCGGAAAGAGGGTCTTGTCTTACCGGGACAGCAAAGCAGAAGCAGCAACACGCAAGGCAAGGCAAGGCAAGGCAAGGCAAGGCAAAGGAGACGAACAGGACAGACGCAGGACGGGACGGGAAACGCCCAAGGGAGGCCGAGTCTTGTCCTAATCTGCCTGCTGTCCAAGGGCGGCACAGGAGATTGAAGTCGCAGACGACCGGAGAAGGCAGACAAGAGGGACGAGCGGTTGACAAGAAAAAAGTCCAATTCAAGGGCCCCGAAAAAAAAGAGGACAAGAGAAGGCGGAGAGAGATAGTTCGACACGGTACCGCTACAGTACGTAACGCATGCCAGCTCGACCCCGGACCAAGTTCGAGGTCGGTTCGGGTTGGTGATGCGATGCTGTTCTGGCACCAGGTAATACTTCCGGGTTGGTCGTCTCCAGGCAGACGAAGCCCCGTACAAATTGACTGAATGAGTGAAGCTCGGCAACCACCTGCAGCTGATGTGGGCGGGCGTTTTAGTGGGCTCGATGCGCCGGACAGCGGACGAACAAGGCGCTGGGCTCTGGCGGGTTAGCGGACAGCGAGCCCGACGTCAGCAATGAATGAACTGATGTACTATCGATTCCTGGCGGCCCTATTCATCTCTTTCTGCTTGATCTCTTCCATGCATATTATCGGTGCCGGGTAAGAAGAAGAAGAAGAAGAAGAAGAAGGGTGTCAGTATCGTATTATTGATTTGACGAGCATGTTTCTCGCAGACTCAGACATGCAGCCGGTGCACTGCTGTGCTTGTGCTTGTACAAGGGCGAGCGAGTTCAGGTTGGGCTTTGCTTTGCTTTGCTTTGCTTTGCTTTGTTTACTTGCGTGGCCACGGATACGGATACGGATTAGATAAGGCACGGCCGCATCAGTCATCAATCACCCCGGGCTGTTTTCTCCGCTGCCGAAAGACAGCTACAAAGTACGGAGTACACATTGATCTCAGATTCTCTCCTCTGGTCAATTTCAGAACTGAACACAGTCATGTCAACGTTTCCAACTCGACTCCCTCGCAGTCCATCTTCCAAGCCGTGATGCATTTTACATATACATAAGGTAGCCCCTCCGACTCGGCCATTTCCCGGGACGCCGGTTTGGCAGCGTCTTTTGCCTAATCTGGGCCAAGTGGCTCTCCACCGCGGATTCTCACAGGGTGGATTTAGCGGCAGCAGAATGACACGATCATGGAGCTGGATTGCCTGTGACTTGTGGCCCGATGCTCTGGACCGTGATTGATCCATGGTGGACTATTGAATGCCACTATAGCATAGAAGAGACTATATCTTGAACAGACTGACGATCCAATCCAAGATACTGTGGTGCTGATGCTTGGTAGGCCAACGTTCTTGTAGACTGATGCTCGAGCCCATTCGATAGCACCTTACGAGTACCTTATCGTCCAAGAACCCAGATCCGATAACGCCGCACAGGCACTCCGTCCATGTCCACTGCCAACCAAGGCATCAACCTGCAGCTGCCCGAGCAGCTACAGAGCAAGCAAATCATCATAAAGCTTGAATGATCATCTACTAACCCGATCAATCGAGAAAAGCTCAAAAGAGCTCCTCACACCTTTCTACACGATGCCACGTCAGAAAGCACACGATATCTCACGAAGACACCCCATCGGCGTCCTTTCCATCCAGAGATCCAAATCTTACACGGCAACAATTTCTAGCAGAATACCGGCGCCAACTCCCATCCATAGGAACTTAAAGATTGCTATTCGAGCCTTTTCTTCTTGATTCGCTCCCCATTCATCGTCTCAATTTCCCATCATCAGAAAGCCGGTCAAACCCGATCTCGATCTTTTTTTCCCCAGACTCGCAGCTTTCAGGCAGACATGCGCTATGCCTGGAAGAGGAATAAGCTTGTGCACCTCTTGTCATGCATAAATCATTGCCTTGCATTTCTTGTTCCCTCTTTTTGTTATCGAGAACGGCATTGGAAGCCAGTCTCTCTGCCCCGTCATAGAAACGACTCAAACCACGCAAGCAAAGACCCCAATTGATCCGTCTCTCTCTCTCTCCTACGGTGTTCCCAACGCAGCTAGTGGTTGATCTTTCTTTTAACGTCAAAGCGAAGACTGTCTCCCTTTTCGCATGAAGCAATGTTATGCGAGAGCGGACCTAACGAGTCCACCCAAATCCTCCGGCTACATCCGCGAGAGGGTAAAAGACGCATCCAAGTCGCTACCCAAGTTCCGGCGTACAGGCACTGCAGACCCCATGGGAAGCCCTCTTTGACGGATTTCGAAGTGCTTGCTTTTGGTGAGCTGAACTGCGAGGTAAACGGCGCAATAAGGAAAAATCCCAGTTCGTCTAGACTTTTATGTTCGTTTCTGGCGAATTGCAGTCTTTGCTTGATAGCCTACCAAACCTCCTCAAAGGTAGACATAACCTGCATCACGCGGCACTACAACCACAAATCGCAACCAGGAGCAATCAGTTTCTCCATACTCCCCCATGTAATTCATACCAGATTTACACAAAGAGTAAAACTCGAGGCTCCTAGCAACATCAAACATGTACATATATCAACCCCCAGGTATTCTTACCAAGCACCCAACGTCTGCATTACCTACCATATACGGCGAATCCAAACTGCACGCCCCCCCAATCCCGAAAATCGCATGGCTTCTTCCATGCACACAGCAGCTAAACAGCATCCTCCTTCTCTAAAAACACATCCCACACACCAAAGCAGGATGCAACAAACAAAATCCCATAGCACTCAGCTGCGGCATCCTCCCGACTAGGGGGTGCTGCTGTCCCTCTCTACCTGTCCCCGTACTCTTTACATACAACCTCGCATCTTAGTAATACATACCCTTACCTAGGTAGTACCCTCTCCCAGAACGAAAACATCACAGCTCGCTTATTCTATCTATGTAAGTGCGCGTACCATCACCAAGATAGAACCATTACACCTTAAACGTTTAAAAGGTGAGCCCCGAAACTTTAGTCCCATCAGGAGCAAGGCGTATTTTGTCCCCTTTTTTTGTTTGCTTTTACGATTCTATTTCCTCGAATCGCCCAGCTTTGCCTTCAGCCGCATGAACAGCATAATATTAAATGTACCCTTTTCGGATGGGAGGAGGGGGGATTTCCGACCAGGGGTGGGGGGGTTTGACTCCAGTTCCCGCATCGAGGGTGTGTGTGTGTGTGGGACTATAGATGTACTTTGTACGAGTACGACCTTGCTCCCAACAGACCCAACTTCTCGTATCACATGGATATTATATCAGGTATCATATCATACCAAGAAACACCCATTCCAATTGCTACAGAAGAACGATAAACAGCGTAAAACAAAAAGCCCCAAACCATATATTCAATCTCCCAATAAGCTAAAAAACTGAAAGAAAAACAGAATCGAAAAAAAAGAAGAGCCTCTATAAGTAATCCCATGGTATATCCCCCCCGTTTCCCTGAAAAGCCTCCAGCTGACCCGCAGCCCTGATGTTCTTCCTGGTCCCAGTCTGTATGTTTCTTTCTTTCGTCTCTCCCTCTCCCAACCCCCTCGCGCCCGTAATAATTCTCCCGAGATCCATATATAAGCCAGCTTTATCCAGCGATTATCAAGTTTCTCTCCTTCCCTTCCTCTCTCCCGAAAAAGCAAAAACCCTATATCGTCCGTTTGTGTGTGTGTTCCATCTATGTCTATCTATATGTGAAAAAGCGTGACAAGGCGTTAAAAAAAAGCTGCAAGGTATCGATGATTTGGTGGGTATCCCGTAATCGTAGTGTTGTGTGTTTGTTCTTTGGTATAAAAAAGCGCAGAAAAAGGGCAAAGCAGTCCAAAAAGTAAGCGTGAGATATAAACGGCGTGTTGTTCCGAGGGAGAGACTGGGAAAGAGGGAAATCCCCAACAGGAGTAAATAGAGAAGCGAAGAAAGGTAGATGTAGCAATTTGGTCGAGAAAAATCAAAGGACAAGGAAGAGTGGAAAGTTGTGATAGGAGACGAGTGTAAAGAGTGGCATAATCAAAAACAGGAAGAACAAGAGCAAGGAAACAAGTAAGGGTATCGCGACTGATTCTTCCGTGCCGCGTAATCTAGAGTTCATGCGTCTTTATGGGCATTAAGACTTTCCAGGACATGACGCATGAATATCGAAACCAAAGTAAGGGAAATCTCGAGGAGTAAGTAGTTGAGTAAAAACGGTGTGTAAAAGAGAGTCGAGAAGAAGATGTAAAGACCGTGTATTTGGAGATTGAGTGTAAGGAGATGCTGATGTATAAGGAGATGGCGTATAAGAAGAATTTGCGCAAGGAGATTGTGTATAAAGGAGATGGTTTGCAAAGCGTTTTGTGAGAAGCCAAGACAATAAGAGAGTTCTGTTGGCTTTTATAAAGAGGGGCAGCAAGCTAAATCATCCCAGGATACGAATCCATAGGCGTATCTTGCTGCGACCTCACAGAGTCCGATCTCTGCGGCATTCCGCCATGCGCGTGAGGTTGCTGCTGCATCGGCATATATCGAGAGTCCATGGGGAGCGTAGGCATAGGCATTGAGGCCGCCATGGCCAGGCTCGAGGCCTCCATACCGGAGCCCGGAGAGGACATTTGAGGCGTCATGGGTCGGAGCGAATCGTGTTGCGGCATCTGGCCACCCGGTCGATGCTGGCTGTTTTCTCGACGGCGTTTGTGAGCGTCTTTGGCTTTCGGGTGTGTGTGACACTGCAGATTTTGATTTTCTCGTTAGCGAATGAAATCCAAAGAACAGAGACTCCCAAAGAAGTGCCATATTCACCTTGTAGGCGTGTCTGAACCAAGTAGTCCCCTTCTTCTTGCTGCTGACAAGAGGAATCCAGTCATTGCAGCTTCCGCAAAGCCCCTCCCAAATATCCGGGTTGCCATTCATGCGTCTCGAATCAAGAGGCTCCTGGAACGGAGTGCCGGTGGCCGCGCTGATGCCGTGCGAGAAAGACTTGTCGTACCAGAAAGCAGAGTTCTTCAACACCAACCACCTTCCAGGCTTGCAGATGCCGCACCATCCCTCCCTCTTGTTGCCGTGTCCTCGCACCCAGCGCGGGGTGTACAGGTCGTTTTCAAACCGCAGCTCCTGCTCATAAGGCACCATCTCCGGGTCCGAGGGGTTCATGTCTTCGGGCGGAGGCGGGGCCTGCTCTTCCTGGAGACAGCCAAACAGGTCCGGGGGGTCCGACAGGTCTGCGTAGAGGCCGGTCAACGGATGCGGCTCGCCGTTGCTTTGGAGAACTCGGAGGAGGCCGTGCGAAGGCAGGGTCGGGGGCGTAGCAACAACCCCGTGGGTCTCGTTGTGGTTGTAGAAATACGATGGCACCTGCGTGGGCAACTGAGAGGCGAGGACCATGCTGTTCCGGTTGAAAGTCGAGGGCCCTCCCATCATGAAAGGAGGTCTGGCGTTCATCGGCTGCTGCTGCTGCTGCTGCTGGTTAGGGAACATGGCCGAGGCCGAGGCTGCGGCCGGCGCAGGCAGGGACTGGTACGAGTATCGCTGGGAAACCGGAGGAGGAGAGTGGTAGAGAGCCGGAGAGGCCCTTCTCTGGGCCACGCTGTAGGACCCTGTAGACCACCGCTGCGTCTTGTTCCCTCGCGTGACTTCGTAAGGGGCAGTCCTCATGCTCGGCCGGGGAGACGGCGAGGCGCGGCCGCGGCTCTGGGTTCTGACCTGCTCTTGGCGAGACTGCGGCAGGCAGGAGAGAGTTGCGTCGACATGAGGGACGTTCTGTTGGAAGGAGGGGGGTAGTCAGAGTTAACTGATCGAACCTCAGAGAGAGCGGCGGAGAAGTCTTCGTACGAGGCCATGTCAGACATGGCAAACGACGAGCCGGACATGCGATGGCTGGCCACGCTGCCGTCATGGTTGAACTGGTCCGCGTTGTCATGCGACGGGGTCGTGTACCTGAGGTCAAGGATGGGCACGGTGTCGTCGGTGGTGTAAGCCTGGCCGATGGGCGTCTCCGGGTCCAGGACGGAGTGCTGCTCGAAGTTGTCCGGCAGAGGCTTCTGGGCCCACCGGTTCGATGCGTCGGATAGGCCAAAGCTGTTGGCGTCTCGAGGGACCTCGCCGGCCATCATGGCATTGAGGGGATACAATCCCTGGGCCATCGTGACCGGCGTGGCCACAGCCTCCGTGGACCGTTGCTGCATCGACGACGACGAGGATGGCGGCAGGGGCTGCTCCCATGCGTTTACGTGTTGGTGATCATCCCGGATGTAGTATGAGATGTTGTCCTGAACTGTCGTCGGCACTTGTTGCGGCTGGGAGGCAGGTGGCATCCAAGTCATCCCTGTCGGCTGCTGCATCGACTCGCCCTGAGGCATGTCGCTAATGCTCAGTGTGTTGATTGAAGGCTCTTGTAGGGCAGCATCGGAGGCGCCCTTGTTGCTGTTTGCGCCTCTCGAGTGGAAGAAGTACTTTTGGAGATGTTGTCGACTTGAACAGGGGGCAAACGCAAGTAAGTATCGATAGACGAGGACATTGGTGAAGGAGAGGCAAGGACATACAATCCATTATGACTAGGCTCCATTGCTAATTATAGACAAAGTCGATGGGATGGACTTCGGCACTCGAATGGTACTTTTCCCTTAATAATCTTAAACGGTAGATGGCCAGGTCCTATTCGTTCGTTGATCAGCGGCGCCGTTGGAGACGGTCATGCAACACCGTTTAGGCAAAGCAGCCCGGGGTTAAGGAGACTGTGTTGCCAATGGCACAACAAGGATTCCCTTTCTTATAGAGTCTCTTCCACTTACACTAATCCGTGATGGTGCCAAAGGGTAGGGTATCGTTTGTAGGTAGTCGTCAGGTGTTATTCCAGAAGGCCCAGAGGATGGGAAATGAGTGTCCAAGCGTATAGACGAGAGAGAAAAGGATCGTTGGCAGCAGTAGTATAAGGAGGGACAGGAGCGAGAAGGAGGGGGGTATACTTCGGGGCCCACGTCAAAGGGAGGGAAGGGGGAAGGGGGGGGTTGAAGAGAGCGAGAGAGAGCAGAATAGGGGAACAAGGAGGGACGGCCGCGGGAGGCAGGCAGGCCAACTGCTAGTGAGGGTAGTATCGTAGTAGTGTAGTAGTGTTGCAGTAGTAGTATCTGATGAGTTGAGATGTCAGATTATGCAGATGAGGAATCGTTCGAAAAAAAGATCGTGAGCGGCCCGCAGGAAACTGATAAATGAACGGAAAGAGGGCCTGGGCTGTCAACGACAGCAACAGGAGGAGGGGCTGGAGATTAAGAGTGACGGGGCATTAAGATGCGATTGCAGCAGATCGAGAGAGATTCCAGAAATTGGATGATTGAACTCCCGGAGAGAGCGAAGCCCTCTGAGCAGGGGACGTGTATACTTGTAAGTCCCGTCGTCGTCAACAAGGCCGCACCCTGAGCAAGCCGGACCTGGCATCCCACCCCCAGCGCGAGAACAAAAATACCACCATCCCACATCCACCATGTTTCTCTGGTGGCCCTACTGCCTACTCCGTGCTCCGTACGTAGTTTGAGCCAAACTGACGGGGCAGGCTTCTGGGCACGCTGAATGCCGGTCCCGTTGCAGGACCCCCGGTGCCTTTCTCGCGATCCCAGGAGGCCAGTATGGGGTGCAGCCGGGGCTTACAGCGCCTGCGTCTGCGTAAATGCGCGAACGGCCGGCTTCTCTGCATTGGCGTACCCGCAAGGCACATCCTCGAAAGCTTGGAAGTGACAGGGGTAAGCCAGGCTGGGTTTCAAGGAGCTGCTGGACCAATCAGCATATCGGCCACCAGCCATATGAGATCGGCCGCGACGCCTCTGCCTTCAAGTTAAGCCAGAATGGAGGCACTGAAACCCCGTCGACAGAGCGAGTGAAACCAATCGAGGTAATAAAATGCCCCTTCTCGTTAAGTTCGAGTCCAATTAATTCGAATATTGGCTGCTGGACACGTCAGACGACAGGAGCAGACAGGCCTGTCGCGTCTACTGCATTTTGGGCCAACCCGCACACGACGCTGGACCAAGAGAAGGCTGAAAGTTGAGCATGGTAAGCGGGTGCCCAACGCGCCTAGTCCGAGACGAGATAACCACCATCAGCAGCTTCGTGATCCAGGCCATGGCGAGACATATAGACAGGCGAACAGCACACATCAAAGGCACGCCCTGGTCGTCCAGGCGAGGCGAACAGACGAGTTTCCTCCCCTCCGCAATCACCGCCAGCTGCTCGCCATGCTCATATCCATGCTCAGATCAGAAACGCCTCTCCAAGCAGGCTGGGCCAGGGTCGGTGTGAAAATGACGCCACTTGCAACTAAGCAGACATCTAAGCGATGCAATTTATCTTCGTTTTTTTGCTCTTGTTCCCTTGGTTCGATATTGGGGGAGCAGGAACCCCTGTCCGGGCACGGTCCACAGAGCCGGGTAAAAGACGTCGCAATAACGGCTAGTCAGGGCAGCCGAGTATGAGACCGAAAGGGCGATTCATCTCCCAGGCATAACCTGATGTTTTCCAGGGCAAAACAAGCCGGAGAATCGTCCTTCGCCGTTAACAGCTAGAGCCTGTCACGGCTTGGGTGGGTTCGTTGACTAAAAAAAGAAGCCTTCGGAAAATAAGTTTCGGCCTCATAGCCATCTCCAGCAGAGGCAGAGTCACGAGCGCGCAAGTATGCTCCGGACAAGACAGCAAGTAACGGCGGGCGACGTAGCATGCGTCACATATTAACGTGACATGCGGGCAACACCACAGCATCAGCTTGAGTAGAAAGCCCTGCCGGTCCGATCGCCCCGTTTTCTAGAACTGCAGCTTTTTTGGGTGTTGTGCCTGATGGTGGTCGCCGTTGTTCTCCAGGCTAGATCGAGCATTGACTCTTTGCCACGTCCCAAGTCGAGCACCGTGCTTCGGTCTGCATTGCATCTCCAGATTCCCATCTGCGATAGCATCTGATCTGATATCTCACTTGCAGTCCTAGTGGCCGAGAGGCATAAGCGTAAACAACAAATGCGGCCAAGTCACAGTTCCAAGGCTTTGATTGACACCACGCAGGCTATAGATGCAGCACCGGGGTGCTAAAGATAGTCTCTTTGCTGGGCTGAAGCGCATGTAGACGGCCACATCAGCTAGGAAACAGGCTAGAATCACGGGAGAACATTCGATCACGGAGACCCGCACGAAAGAAGAAGTAAAGACGAGGAGATGCGAGATGCTATAACACGGTAATCTCCAGCAGAACAGCCCAAGATCCACACACAAAAGTCGGCAAGGCCGCCGTTGGGTACGGAGGTGGAGGGGTAGCAACGAAACACCCTGGGTGCGGGGAGGGTGCAAGAGGGCAGAGACATCGAAACGGAAACGGACTCACCTGTGTCTTGTTCTTGTTCGTGAGCCACGGGTTGGCTTGGCTTGCTTTGATATCAGGACTTCATGACGGACTTGGTCAGACAAGTCGAAACCAAACCCATTGCAGCAACGGTCACGAGCCCAGTGCTTCACAATCCAAGAGGGAGGCGCGTCCCGCCGCTGACCGGTTCCAAAGAACCAAGGAAATGTCGCGGATAATGGTGCTAGTTGAAAGTATAGTAGCAGTTACTCCAGGCAGCATTGTCCAGTAGGAGCACAAGGAGCAGTCGTCGGAAAACGGATGACGTTCTCGATGGTAGCATCCATCTTCCGCGGCGGGCTTGTCCCGTTTGCCTGCGACCCAACCCAGCAAGACGGCTATTCTCCGACCAGCCGTGAGACAAAACAGGCACGGTCCGGCATACGGAGTGGTAGCAGTGGCAGCAGCTGCTGCATGCGAGATGCCCAGCTGCGAGATCACGCCTGCAGGGAAACGGTGTCGCCGCTGCGAGAGGGAGATGACCGAGTCGGCCTTGGAAGCCGATCACGAGCCCGCAGAGGCCCCGGCCAAGCGTGTGTCAAAGGCCATATGCGGAAGTAGGTAAAACGCTTGGCTGCAAACCAGCGAGGGCCCAGAACCCCCGCAATAGATTAAAGGAGGAGACCGACGGCCGGTAGAGCCAATCTGCAAAGAACCGGACGACGCTATCCATCCGGCAGTGGCCTCTTGGGTGCTGTCGACATTCGACAATGACATGCGAGTGCCCCCCCCTCCAAGTCGATCCACGGGTGTGGCACCGGAGCTCGCTGGAGCGCCCACAGACCTGCATTAGCCTCGACGACTGTAAATTGCGAATCCGCTCCAGGCGTTGGCTCCAGTACCTGCAGCAGAGGTCCGTTCTGCGTCCTCGTCGTGTGCGTTTCCCCGGTCACGATCCCTCGCGTTGCTCCTCCTCTGCTGCCCGAAAGCCCGAGGAAACGAACGGGGGAGGGTGTCAGTTTCGACAAGCTGAGCCGGACGGACCGCCTTTCGCCTCGAGAGGGACCCGCGATGGAGACCTGGCCTGGCAGGACGGGGAATAGAGAGCAGAACGGTGGAGATGCTGTTTGAAGCGGCCCTGCTGCGACGCTGTGATTGCCGTCAGGTTGGCAGCATCGCCAGGGGGTTGTCGCAGGTAAATTGCTGGACCGCTGCCATTGGCCGTTTTAATCCGCAGCCCTACACTAGGAGGTACAAGGCATCCGCCGTTGGCACACGCGCAAACCGCGGTACCGGCCAGGGATGCCCTCTGTCGCTTCCTCTGCAGCCCCTCTGGATACGCGTTTCAGATCCGTTTTACAGCACCTGGCCCTAAGCCCGAAACATGCCAATATCATGCCACTTACTGACACCAGATGGAAAGGGTCGTCCAACTCCCACAAACGAGTATCAAGATGCCGCTGCTGCCACGTATTACTCGTAACAACAGCGCAGGCTACAGCATTACAGTATTACCTACCTGGCCTTGTGGTGATTGTGACGGCGACGGCGACAGCTCCAGCTCCAGCCTGCCCTGCCGGCAAATGATACGAGCTGCACGGCGGACCGCTCAGCTCAGGCTGCCCGTTGAAACATCGCAAGGCCACGCCGAACGCCTCGTGCCTGGAGACGCGAAATGAAGGCGTATTCCACGCCAGATTCAGATCCCAGCCCCGTCCTATATATATCTTGAGGCGAGCAGACAGACTGCTAGCGCCTAGTGTCGATCTTGTCACAACCCTGTCACGGATCTGTACGGGTATATTGCGTCAGAATCTTGATTCGAGATCTTTGCTTTTGGTCGCCAGTGGCCATTGACGAGAGCTGTCTTGCATGATGCGCGACATCAATGTCTTGCTTTCTTCTCGATTTGCCACCGCAATGTTGACAAGGCGTATAGAGCACGGACAAAGGAAGATATTCAGACTCCATAGATAAGAGCGTCTCGCCTAAATGGGGAGCAGAAAATCGAACAGGTCGCTTTTATATCTGTAAATTTCGCTAACAGCTCTGGCCTAATTTCAGCACCTACCCGGCAATCGGTTGGTATAGTAGAAGCGATTCGATATTCATCCTTCAAGCACTGCGATCCGTCGCTCATGTCCGCTGCACGTCTCCGGCCATGCCGCTCAAACAATCATGTTTTCCAAGTGACGTTGCCGCGAATAGTCTCGTCCAAGGTAGAAGCGCTAGTCCTTGTTGATCCTTTTCCAGACCTCATTCTCTGCCGCCGCGATGCTGTCTCCCGCAGCTGCAGCCCACTTCTTTGCTGTATTCCAGATGCTCTCCTCGTCGTTGGCCTGATGATAGTCTTGATTCACCGAGGCATTGTAAGCCTCCCGCTGGTCGCGTGTGAAATCAGCGGCATTGGTATTCTGCTGGTAGCCTGGAGGATGCGAAAAGTCGGGCTCAGTGGCTTCCGTGCCTTGCAGAAATGTTGGCTGCGGTACATTTGGCGAATACGCTGCGGAAGTCGAAGAGGATGTGCCTCCGTGGGCGGTATATGTCGTTGTGGGAGGCGGGTAAGACATTTGAGGCGGCATGGGCATAGTTTGCGGCTGCGACTGCTGTAGCGTCTCTCCGGCTTTGGGTGGAGGCGGCAGGCTGCTTTTCCCTGGCGGCGTAGGCATAGCACCGGGCTGGGGAGGCGGAGGACTTGCGTCGACTTGAGCTGTTGATGTTGGCATATACCTGTCGGACAGCTGGGGAACTCCTGTCTGAACGGGCAGCGATGGTCTGGCGCCTGGCTGCGCAGGTGGATACCCAGTTGAGGTCTGTGGCGACGTTGTTGTAGGCTGTGGCCTCGCATCTTGCTCGTTGTCTTCCGGAAGCCCTGTCTGTGGAGTGACCCCCGATGCCTTGGCGGGAGCAGTGATGGGGCTGGCAGTGTATACCTGTACAGGCGGCATCTTGAGTGAATGGGAAACAAATGCACCAACCTGGCGAGAGATGCGGTGTATAAGTGAAGGTAGTGAGCAAGTGATTGCGTGCTGCTGTGTAGCTGTCGTCGTAAGCGTTTGAATGAGTGTAAGTGTGTATTCGTTTGGCGTAAATGATGATGAATTTGAGAGGGAGGTGATGAATGTTGTCCTTTTGTCCCAAGGTGTTGAGAGCTGGTGGTTGCCTTGAGTGAAGTTGGTTGAAGAAGGGAGGCTGCGCTACGTCATCCGAGTGACATTCATCAGGTGACTTGCGTCCAATGCGACGCCGTCCAAGCACCTGTGGGGAAGCCGCGATGGCTTGCTATTATTCTCTGCTTCTTCTTTCAGTTTGAGGCGCAGGAAGAGCATTAAAACACCATGAGGCTGGATATCACAAGCTCATGATCGGGTACCTACCTATATGCGAGTAGTATGCTGCGCAACTTGCTATAACGTACATGGTGGCAAAACCCAGCAATCAACCCCTGTTACTCTCTCTGGCTGCTATTTACTGCCCGCTGATATACACCCTCAAGCCTTCTTTGGCAGCGCAAAAGGACAGGTCGAAGCCGACACCTTCGTCTGCGCAGCCCTCGCCAGACGCGCTGTTTCTTCCACCCCCTTGCCCATCTTATCCCGTGGTCCAACGTCCTCAAACAAGAACCCATCCGGCAGCATGGCCTCGCCGCCGTCTCCAGCAACCTTGAGGCCAAACGCTCGTCGAAACAAGCCTTCGGGGCCCCAGCGAGCCCAGAAGGTGGGGGGAGTGTACCAGGGGTCCTTCAGATAATGATAGTGCTGGATGCGGCCCGTCACTGGATCTGGCTGGCTGATGAAGATGGAAGGAATGATGCGAGGGAGACATAAGTAGCGGATGAAGAGCTTTCGGGTGAGAAGAAGAGAGTATGCGACGACGGATTCTACCACACCAGGTTCGGGGAAGCTATGGCCGCATTAGCATGGCAACAGTGGAAGACGGAGATGAAGAAGAAAAGGCGAAAAGCCCACCCAAAGGCATGTCGCATGCGCTCGCCCATGAGAACCATGAGAATCTTGTACCCGAGCGCTCGCGAAAACTTGGGATACGCCGACAACATCACGTCGACCAAAACCTGACCCAGCTTGGCAATGTCTGGCGAGGGACCCATGTGCTCGTTCTCATACCCGGCAGCCCACTCCGCCACGTCGTCCATGAACTCGATGCCGTCCTTCCACTGGTCCTTGCCCAGCTCGGCCTTGTAGTCAATGTCCATCATCTCGCCGATATACTTCCAGAGCAGGCCCAGGGCCGCCACCTCCATGTCGGCCATCTCCCTCCATTCATAGAGGCGCATCCAGCGGACGGGCTCGTACATGGACTCGAAGAGGACGTAGAGCATGTCCGCGTTGCTGATTTTGCCGGATTGCCGATATGGCTGGTGGAGGAAGTTTGTGCGGGCAACGCTCTTGGCCAGGGCCTCGGATCCCGGGGCGAAATTTGCGTAGCTTGAGAGGACATGGTCAGCGAGGAGAGCTCTTTGTTCAGCAATGGAGAGAGAGAGTAGACTTACCAGGCATACAGGACTTGAGTATCATCGTATCTAATCGCCACTGTCAGTAAGCTTCATCTTGTGATCCACCCCGCACAGCAGGCGTATGGAACATACCTTTTAGAGGCCTCGGCAGGCTTCGCCAAATCGCTAACTCTGTACAAGAGATTGCCGATGTTGTCCATAGCGTAGGTCTAACATTGCAAGTCAGTCAATCATGATCGCCAATACTCTGGGTCGGAAAACGTGAGAGCCTCACCCTGAAGATGGCATATCGAAGCGAAAAGTCATAGAGAGTAGGAAACTCATAAATGCTGATAATGTTGACAATCTTCTGCGCGTCCTCGTTCGTCATGCGAGACAGCGACTCTCGATCCGGATAGTTGAGCTGCTTGCGCATAGTCTTGAGTCTCCGGAACCGAAGCGAGGAGCACAGCGCGGCGTACAAGGCGAAGCCGGCGACGGAGCAGAGCACCCATGGGCTCGTTCCCAGCCGGCCGGCTAGGCCATCGCCGTTGCTGGGGAGGAGAGATGCCATGAGCGTGGGCGGTGGTGGAAGACGAGAGGTGAGGGGTCGAAGAAGACCGAGGAGGAGAGGAGACAGAACGACGTTGGCGGGAGGATGGCCGGGAGGGGCTTTTGGATGTGTCGATTTATAGGGTATATAGCAGACACTCTTATCCAGATACCTTAGTCCTAAGAATACTGGCCACGCAAAATCGGGCGTGCAGGATGCATAGGATAAATAGGCAGGGCGGAAATAAAGCAGAAATATATAAGCAAGAAGAAGAAACTCCACGTCGCTAAGCAAGGAAACTATCCGTCAGCAGCCACTCTCGTGTGCTGCCCGCTCTTGCGAAGTCCTCCGAGGAATGTGATGTGAAAATGCAGGAAAACGATGGTCCAGTAGATAAAATGCTACCTTACGTATTCTGAATTTGGGCAAAAAGGAACGACAAGAGAAGCAACAATAAAAGGCATTGGTCATGCTTGCGTGTTGTTTGAACTTGCCGTCGCCAATCAGGTGCGGCTGATGGAGGGACTTTGGGATGATTTTTTAGCCTCCGTTACATTTACACAAGGTGACGATGATGGGGTCACTTTCACTGTGTGAGGATGAGGAAGATGCATCTTCAAGTTGTTGGTGATAACCTAATCCTATCGTCCGGATACCAATGCCTGTATCACCCGCAGGTGTATGGTCGATGAGGTCAACGAGTAGAAGCAGAGCAGTATGATTCAAAAGCTGGGCTAAATACATTCGATAATACTCACAGCTGCCATTGCATTCATGCAAGCACGTACAGCCCGCAGCTTCAGTTGCCACCACTACTACCTTACCTTACCTTAAGCTGGATCTGTATCACCAAGGTAACAAACGACTGTATCTTCTCCTCATTCGTAGTTGCATGGTACGATTATAGTACAATAAGACTAGAGTAGCATCGGGAAGTTTTGCGTTTGCGGGGTTCGCGGACCTACGGCTCACGGCTCACGGCTCACAGACAACAACATATGCAGCCCTGGGGAGAGGATAGGAAATGCCATTCTTGCCGCCAATCTGGTGATATTATTCAGTACTACGGTAGTAGTAAGAGGCACGAAGTACTCCATCGGGACCATCAAGCCCACATCACGGATATGCGGGCAGATGGAGACTCATGCAACGGAAGGGAATCCTTTTTCGCTGTAACTCTGGATTAAGGTTGACCAGATGGTGATTCGAGCATCAAGCGTGATGTTGTTGGTTCAACTCATGCCCCCTCCCAATGCTACTAAGTTGCGTCTATCAAGTTGAGTGTGTTTTACTAGTAACAGATCAAGGTAGACGGATGATTCCACTTGGCGACAGAGAAGATGAGAATGCCACATGTGAACCCCATCTCGGGGAGGGGATGCATGCTGCCCACTTACACCTCGACCAAGACATGCTTTCTTCCCTTGCTTCACATCGAGCCAATGATGAATAACAAAAGACTCCTTCCGAATCCTGCACCCCTTTCCCATTGGCCGACCATTGCAGCCAGGCTCACCGAATGTTGGTGTAACAGAAACAGGGAAGAAAAGCAGTCACAGGAACAGCCATCGTCGATATATGCCCAAGACGATGTAACTTCAAATGCCTGCATACTAGTAGATATTCATCACATGCTATCATCAAGCGCTGAGGAGACTATCAGCCATGACATCCGATTCGTCGTGATCCCGTTGTTCTCTCCCCATTGCATCGCCAACACGATACTAGTACTACTAGCACGCACGAAAATGATGAACAACTGTAAGAATCACACCCTGCACTGTCATATCGAAGCGATTACGTCTAGCGGGAGGACAATCAAGTGCTTCAGTGCGAAAAGTAGGTGTCTTCTCAAGCTCTATAACTCCCATTCTGCTCCGCTATTGCAAGTTGCCAATCAGCACAAGCAGTACATCCTGATTACGAAATAAGCCCAGTTCTCCTATATCCTCATGAACAAACCGATAAACTCCAATGCTTCCTCTCGATTCCGTGCCCCTCGTGTCCAGATAGGCCCTGTGGTAGAGGTATATGTAAACCCAGACGTTATCTACCAAGCCCAGAGCACCTTGTGGTGGAGCGTACGCGCGCCGAGTCTCTCAAACTCAAACGGGGTGATCCACGAATCGTTGGTCGACAGCTTGGCAAAGACACTCGCTCCCTTCCAGGTTACAACCTGCTCGTCCATATCCCTGGCGCTTCGGCTGACAAGTATCCTCTCGCTAAGCTCGGGCTTCAGCGCCTTCAGCTTCTCCTCCAAGACGACGGTGAATTGTGGGATCTTGGCTCCGCCGCCGACGACCATGATACTGCCCAGCAAGTCGCGAACTTTCTTGTCGTCGCCCTTAGCGGCGTTGTGAATGCTTGTCAGGATGGCAATGTCCAGCGGTGCCAGTGGCAGCACCTCGTCTCTCTCGGCTGCCAACTCTTTGGCGCCGCGCGCTGGTTCGACAAAGATGCCCGGGGGCGGCTGGGTGGTTTGGGACTGCCCCGGAACCGGCGTGCCGGCTGCTCGAATGCTGCCTGGAGCAGGGCTATCGCCATTGACACCATCCTTGTTGGCTCCAAAGATGAATGGAGCCGGGGTGCCGTTGCCTTCGGGTGCCGGCGATCCGGCATGTGATGCCATGGGTGTTCCGTTCGCTGTCTCGCTCTTACCAAGAAAGTTGAACTGCGACTTTTCCTTGCTCGGCGTGGACACTTCGGGTTGCGACTGGGAGAAGCCATTTGTATTTGTGCTGGCCGTGAGTGATGGCTTGACCAGAGCGAGGATCGCAAGCTGTGCGGCAGATGTTGGATCGTCGGGGATGTCCACATCGTATGCGTTGTAAGAACGCTCGACCAGTTTTCTTCGTCCCCTGAGCTTTGTGCTGTTGTCGAAGATCGAGGGCTCAAACACACCCATTGGCGCGAGAATGACTTCGTCGTACGTCTTGAAGGCGTACTTCCGTGTCGGTTGATTCGGCGCCCGGACATGGAAGTTGTAAAGCTGCACCGATATGTTGGCCTGAGACATGGTGCAGTGCTTCCACTTGAGTTCTTCGGCCAGCAAGAAGTCATATCGCCTCCGTAGATTGATTTCCTGGTAGGGAAAGTTGTCGTAGAGCATCATCTTGATGAATGTTTCCGTAATGTCGTATCCGCCGTACTTGAGGTTGATTCTCGAGTCCTCGATACACAGCCCGTCTTCGACGCAGGTGACTGCAGTCTTCTGGGCGCCGACATCGACGACGCAGGCTTGCGTGTACCCGGCGCCAAAAGTGGCCGCCATGCTTTCCTGGATGAAGCATACTCTACTGAACTCGAACCAGGTCATGCAAGATAGTAAGACCTGCTCCACATACTTCTTGTCGTAGAGATCCGGAATGACAAAAACACAGCTGTACTGTTGCCACTCGCTGTTGGTCTTGAGCCCCAGCTCTTGACGTAGGGCCTTGTCCAAGAGAGTTTCGAAGTCGTCAAAGAGGTGCTCTTGACTCGTGTAGCCATCCTCGTTCCAATATCCGTGTTGCATGGGCCACCATAGCTTGAATTTTGGATTTGAATCGTCAGGTACCCGTAGCGCTTCGTATCCGATGAAGCAAGATGCCGGCGAATCCGGGTCGTCCAGTTTGCTTATATCTGTCCACTCAACCTCCAGCACGTCATTGTGCCTCTGGATGATCTCGGGCTCTGTTCGTCGGTTGAAGGTCTGGACCAGCTCCTTGGAGTTGGGCAGTACTTTTCGCTTGTTGGCGCGCATTTCAACCTTGAGGTCGTTGCACATCTTCTGGTATTTCTTGGACCACTCCTCTCCGTATTGCTGGTCGACGGTCTTGGCCTCGAACTGGCGCCGGGGCAAGGCTTCGTACATCTCCGACTCGGTCTGGGGGAACTTGGTCGCCAGCACAGCGGGGATGGTCTTGGGAAGTGCGTCGCTCGCAAACCCAATGCGTAGGTTCTGGCTTCCGGGGTGGATGACAATCACCCTGGACGGGTCCATGCCGCCCGAGGGAGTTGCAGCCCCATCGTCGTCGCCGAGATCTGGCAGAGGTAGGGGGAGCTCGCCGTTGGCAGGCTTTGAGAGAGCACGGTCGCGATCTCGGGCGCTCTGCACCAATCTGTCGCGGTTCGCATCGTTCTGGAGTCGTAGAGCCAGGACCTGGTCGTCCCGCTTCATATAATCTCTGTTCCAAAAGTCAGTCGTCGCCCAGCGCCAGCCACCGGGATCGCCGTCACATCTCACGTGTAGTAGTTCTTCTGGTTGATGGGAGTGACATCAGGCCACGACGTCAATTTCATGCCATTGTCGGTCCTCTCCAGTCCTGTGTGATTTCAATTCCAACGTTAGCGCTCGATGGCCAATTGACGACAAGAACCGGGGGTCCGGCCAGTGATGCGCAATTGGAAGCGTCTTCACGTACCCTCCCTGAGGAGCACTCTCTCGGAGACTTTGCCGACCATCTTGACGGTGTGGTTCCCTTGATGTCAATAACAGGCGGCAGACCAGAGTTGCGCAATGTTGTCGAGACGAGAGCGAGGGATGTTAATGGGCACTCGTCATCTCGTCGTTGAGAGAACGCGCATCGACACGCGGAAGGCAATTCACCATCTTTCGGCGATCTCGATAAGATAGCTGGATGCTGAGATGTGCGGATTTTAGATGATCCGTCAATCCCGCTATTCTGGACTGGTGGAGCAAGAGGACGGAGCTTGCACTCCGCATATCGGTGTTGCTGTCTAAGCGGCTCGAATGTTCACATAAGGTACTAGAAGCAATCTTGGATATTTACCGGGCTGGAATTTCTCAGTGATGGATCCTTTAGACATCAATTTCTCTTTCCCCCTTCTCTCTTTTTCACATGGTGTTTGATCATCGCTGTCCTTCTGCTGTGATGTTTCAGCCTCCTAGCCGACGTGTACTTCATACTGCAGCTTCAGGTTCCATTCAGCGGCATCACATTGGCTGTGCTCGAGCCGTTTATACAACAGCAGTTCCTGAGCCAAGCGGAAAGCAGTAAGATGCTTCCTTTGGCTGACTTGACTCGGGCTTTGTCATGCGGGCGCCACAGCGATAGACTTCCGTTACAACCTAAGGTATAGAACATTCCGAGTGAGACCGGGCGTCATTGTTTTGGTAGGCTTCTGGTATGGGTTGTCGCGAGCATGTACACCCTGCCTCGGCCTCATGTAAGTGGTCGATGTCACAGCTTCATCTGCAGCAGTGTATCTATGCAACATCCTCCGTTTACACTTTCTGCAGTGTGCTATCTCGTGATGCCAACGTCTAGCTTACACCAATGCCGACTCACCATGTATTTCTCAGTCCATCTCAATGCTCCATCTGCAGGCGCGTCTCTCTATGTGATCCATGTGATGAAGTGACAAGGGATATCGAATACCTCCCAAATACCTCTACCCGCCCAAACGCGCCCTCCCATTGGCTGGGCCGATATTCAAACACCGAGCTCCCAGCACCAAGAAGCTCCAGGTCATGTCCGTCATCGTCAGACCAGAAAAGCGTAAACGAAAAACAACAACGCGAAACTCAAAAAGAGCAGGCCTTTTCTTTTCTTGTCTTTACGTCTTCATTCCGCAGTCACAGTCCTTATCACAAGCTTCTTCTGTATTCTTCACTTGCGTCTAATCTTGCGCATTCGCACCGCCATGTGACTTCCCGCAGCTTCTCTTCTCAAGGTCGTTTTCTTGCTGGCTCGCATCCGATAGTATTGCTGGTTCGCGACAATCCCAGCAGAGAGACGACGATAGTAATTCGCACCTCTACGTTACGCTGTAGAGAGGACACTGCGAGCGACAGGCGGTATATTCAAACCCACGAGGGATCATAATGCCGTCCGCCTTCCAGCGATATCTGCCCTTTGCGGCCTCGACGACTCCCACGCAGGCCGCAACATACCTGCTCGGCATCTCGCTCTTCTCCATCTCCTTCCTCGTCTTCCTCAACAGCTCCGTTTCCTTTGTCATTACCGACCTGATAGGGCAGAAGAAGAACGTGGGCGACGTCGTCGGCACGCTGGGCTTCGCAGACGAGATTGTCGCCCTCGTCGCCTGTCCGGCCTGGGGCCTCGTGTCGGATCGACTGGGCGTGCGATGGGTTGCCGCGATTGGGTACCTGATTGTCGGGATGTCGCTGGTGGTGTTTGTGCAGGCTCGGAATGTGTATCCGCAGCTTCTGCTGGCCAGGATCCTCTTTGCGCTGGGGGCATCTGCTACGTATGTGCTGTTTCTTTGAGATTTACCTATGGACGGAGTAGAGGATATCACATCTGCATCTGCGCCCGCTGGAGCTTGCTAGCTAACCTCATGGGAATCGCAGGGCCACAATGGTGACCGCCATCCTTCCTTCACTGACGGACGAAGACGAGGAGCTGCGCAACAGCGCTCTGGAAAGGGCCAGAGCCGCCCGCGACAGCCGCTCGAACGCGCGCTTGAGCGCCGCTTATTCCGTCGAGTCCGAAGCTACCATCACGCCCGAGATGTACTCGCGATCGCTCTCCAGTGAGGGGCGGCCCGTCTCAGCAAGCGTGGATCCTCAGGGACGGTCGGGCAAATCGTCCGTGCTGGCGGGCTATGTCGGCCTCTTCACCGGGTGCGGCGCGTTGCTGGCGCTGTCGTGCTTTCTGCCCTTGCCCGCCAAGTTCGGCGAAATTGACAATGTCACACCTGGAGAGGCCGTGTCATACAGCTACTACGTTGTCGGCGCTGTCGCACTGCTTGTTGCCGTGTTTGTCTTCTTCGGCCTGCGCAATATCCAAGGAGAAGAGGGCAAAGGATGGAGGCTGCTCCTCGGATTCAAGGGCCCATCCAGCGATGGATATGCCTACTCTGGAAGAACACAAAACAAGGTAGGGGGGAAATTCACGATTGAAACACCCTCATAGCGTTACTGACATTTGATGCAGGTGATTCCGTATCTTCACCTCATGATGGACTCGATACTCCTTGGCTTTACCGACTCCCGGATCGCCTTGGGCTACCTCGGCGGCTTCGTCGCCAGAGCATCCACCGTTGCCATCTCACTCTTCGTCCCCCTCTACATCAACACCTTCTTCATCGGCAACGGCTTCTGCCAGGGCTCGCCCAACGACCCCTCGCCGGAGCTCAAGAAGGAATGCCGCCAGGCATACGTCCTGTCCTCCATCCTGACAGGCGTGGCGCAGCTCATGGGCCTGCTCTGCGCCCCCGTGTTCGGCTACCTGTCGCGCCACCCGGGCAGGGTCAACTACCCCGTCGTCGCCGCCACCGTCTTCGGCATCGTGGGCTACGCCATCTTCCCGCGGCTCCCGAGCCCCGAAATTGGCGACGTCGACGGCAGGGGCGGCAGCCCCGCCGTCTTCCTCGTCGTGACCCTCCTCGGCATCAGCCAGATCGGCTCCATCGTGTGCAGCCTGGGCTCCCTGGGCAAGGGCATCCTCGCCGTCGAGATCCCGCGCAACGCCCGCCGACAGCACTTCCTCGCCCCCGACGAGGACGAGTCGGGCGAGTCGGAGCCCCTCATCCGCATCGCCACCGAGGAGGAGTTCGTGTCGCGGCTGAGGCTCAAGGGCTCCATCGCCGGCGTCTACTCGCTGTGCGGCGGCGCGGCCATCCTGCTGCTGACGAAGCTGGGGGGGCTGTTGTTCGACAAGGTCTCGACGGGGACGCCCTTTTACATGATGGCTGGATTTAATGCTGTTTTGCTATTGGCGACGCTGTTTGTTGATGCCTCGCAGACGTTTTCATCTAGGCGTTGAAGTGTTTCTTGTCAGGTTTTTTCTCGAGAAGGAGTCCTCGCCGAGGCGTCTAATTGAATGGTGGACTTGGGACAAAAAGAAAGAAAAAAAAGCGAGGAGCACTAAATGTGGTAAGGGGAAAAGACAGTCAATGAGAGCGTTTTCGATTCTGGATGGGATACCTTTTTTGCCCTTTTCCATTCCTATTGGCCTTGCGGGTTTTTACTGGTGCATTTTTCCTTTGTGTTCTGCTTGGGGGTTCGTTTTCTGCGTTTGTGTACATACCAAGATTGTCTCATAATCGGACTGACCTTCAAAGCGAAGCAGTCTCTATTTTCCAAGTCAACAGAGCGAGGAGAGGTACGAAATACAGAATCTATAAAAAAAAAGACAATGATTTTCCTTTTTGCTATTCTAGATGACGGTTCATCCCGGGGAAAAAACACACTTATAATTACCATTACTCTGGAATATACCAGGATCGCTCTTCTAAAAACGCTCAACCTCGTCACAAAGAAACGGAATGAAACCCGAAGAGAAAGGTGGCTATGCAAGAGGGCAAAGAAACAAGCAGTAAAGCCCCATGATTGCCCGCAGAGTATGTGTGTTTGTCTACATGGCAATGAACCGCTCTGGATTCGGTTCCACCTCCTCATCCTCACTCCCAGCAAACGTCTGCCCGGGAAACCACCGCTCCGTATTGAGCAGGTGCCCGCCATTGAGATCGATCCAAATGAGCATTCTCCGCAACAGCCCCCCGAGGCCCAGGTTGTGCAGGCCGCCTCGCATGTCCACCAGCCGCTTCGCAGCGTCCATGTGCAGCCGGAAGCATCTCAGGTCCCCGTGCATGGCCTCGAAGCTGGCCATCTTGGCCACGGCGCCGATGATGGAGTCGGTTGCGTTGTTGGGCAGGTCCATGGCCATGTTGATGGAGTTGAGGGCGTCGATGCGGAGCTGGTCCATGTTGAAGCCTACCTCGCTGGCTATGCCGCCCTTGACGGAGATGTAGTTGCCGGCAGAGAGCAGCAACACGACTTGGAAGGTGGAGATCTCTGTCGTGGCAAGCCGGAACCAACGGCTTCGGAGGAGGCCCTTTTTACCAGGCTCGTCGAGCTCGGGGATGTCGACGGCCATGTGGATGATGTCTACATCGAACGTGTCAGCATCGCTCCTTTTTTCGTAAACGAACAGCTGGCAAACATGACTGCGGGAGCAGATCGAATGTGTCTATTCCTGGGCTGAACTCACAATGATCGACCAAATGAGGAATATACGGCCGCCATGGCGTAGGATATGATTTGAAGGGATCAACGCGGCCGCCTCCCAGTTGGTATTCGATTGCCAACGGCTGCACAGCTCCAAAGCCCACAGCACCTGCCCGGATCATGGACTGGAGCAGAGCGCTATTGTTACTTGCTGCATTTGCCGTTCCTGGGAATTCCGCATCGTCAGGACCTCGGATGTCCCAGGTGATGGTGTGCTGAAGGCGCTTGCGCTTCTTCCTCTTAGACCTGTCCTCACGCTGCTGAGCTGCTTCATCAACCGGAGTGGAGGACGAGGACGAGGACGAAGATCCATTGTGCTGCAGCAGGTAAACTTGCCAGCCCCGTTTGGACAGATGCGATCGCAGCTTTGAGCTGGACCCGGCTTTGAGCTGGTCTGGCCGATCTCCAACAACGAATTCATACTTCCCGGCAGGGGTTGGGGCGATGGCAGCCGCTGCTACTATCGTGTTTGATGTCATGGCACAGTGTAGAGAACGGATACCCGCGATGCCGCGTTTCTGGTTAGACTGCTGTCAGCTTCCATGATCGGGAAAAGGGGGTTGGACATCTTCTGTAGCATACTGCCTCTACCTACCTCGTCAAAGGCTGCTCCGTAGGTAGTTAAATGGTAGATGAAGCTGCTTCACACTGCGGCTCTTACACGTGTATATCTGATGTGCGCTGATGATATACACAGAAGGCTAGAGATGGTGCCAGAGCATGGCTAGGTGAAAGGAAGAGGAAGAGGAAGAGGAAGATGGAGATGAAGAGCAGGAGGAAGAGCGGACGTTTTAGGCAAGCCAGGTTAGCAGCAGAAGGTCATGGCATGCTATAACCATGTCAACAAGCTCATTGTCTCTTATGAGACACAGACAGACAGGGTCCTCGATGTGCACTCACACGACGTACTATCTATCCGGATCCAAATCCCCAATAGCGGGTGGGTTACATGCGTCGTCCGGCTCAGCTCCCACCTCATCTCTTTTCTCACGCTCTGTCTGTCCTTGACCGCTGAGTCCATTGGCCCAGTCCGTATGCATCTTGATATTAAAGCCGTAGAGCTAGTAGCTATCTGGGTAGTAGGCAAGCAAACAAGCAAGGTAGGCGAGAGCAGTGGTCCAGAGACGGTGCGGATCGCTCCAAGCCATCCCGGTGCCCATGCATCGGTCCCTGCTAGTCCGAGTTCGTGTCATCGGCGGTCATTTTCGGTTTGTGACACAAATTGAATGCCTTCCATCAGGTCCATTTCGGACAGGAGCAACGAATCTGACCTCCCAACTGTCAGATGGTTTGTGAATCGCCTTGCTCGAACCACAGCTTGCAGCTTTGTACAGGTACTTGAAAGTGAATCTGGTGAGCTTGTGAATGGGAGAGCGCATGGCCCCGAAGGATATGCTCGGGAAGAGCAGACAAGGATCCCGGATTCCGACTTCTTGCAGTGTCGTGGATTCGTGGATAAATGACAGAGCCCGTTCATTGAGACAAATCATCCTGGACAGGCTATTCAGCTGCCGGCTCTTTGCAAATCACATGTCAACAATGGACATCGTCTCATCCCGTCTACCCGGTCAGCTCCCCAGGTGTCTCGAAGCAAACAGACATGTCTTCCCCGAATGCCGCTCTCGTAAGTGACGGCAGGGCCAGAGTTCCAGAAGCCGCTTCCCCTGCGCTAGTTTACCACCACGCTATCACTTAGACAAGCCACAGGGCGACGCCGCCGCGGATGACCACAGCAGTGACAGCTATCGCAGGCCGAGTGCCAAGGGAAAGACCCTGAAGCAAGATCCAAGGAGAATGGAAGGGATTTGCTCTCCAACGGGACTTGGGTCAATACCGTCTTCTTTCGCCGGTAGCAGATGGATCTAGACGAGTGTAAGGTAGTACTCGCATGGAAGCCGGCACACCTCTGTTCTGAGCTTGGATATGAGGTGGGCCGTATATTGCGTGTGTCACGTAGGACCAGCATGGGTCTTGTCCTGTCTGTCCCCAGGCTCATAATCCTCCTGAGACACGGCTTCCATTACCTATGGTGAGGCGTTTTCTGCCATGATCAACTGATCAATGTCGTTACTCCTAGGGCGGATTGAGAGATGCATATGGACCCAGAGCTTCTTATTAGACTGAGGTAGCTGCCAGGAGGCTGAGACCCAGGCATAATTAATGGCCATACCTACTTTGTAGGAAACGACTGGTAGTAATCGCTTGTAGGCACACGTGCGCAACCTCCTTTGGACGTGGATCGTCTGGTTGCCGAGGAAGATCGACTAATGCACTGTTAGCCTTATTACTCATGCCGTCGCTAGCACTCCTGGCATCACCAACGGGCTCGTACTTTGTCCGTGGTGCCCTCCCCTGTAAAACCACTGCTCTCTAGTAGTAGGCGAGTTGATGTGCTGAGACATGCTTGACGCGATCGATTCCAATGTTCTTACTGGATCTCATCACCCAGACGATCGACGATGGACTTGCCAGGCATGGATTGGAGCAGCTGGAGGATGCGGCTGTCAGAGTTGAGCGCAGGCCAGGGCTGACGTTGGCTCTCCAGGCTCCAGGCCAAGAAGTATTTCCGGCGCGAGCGTAGACAACTTGGGCGTTTGATAGGAGCTTGTTGAAGAGGAGATGAGGTTTCCTTTCTTGCAGAGAGAGCCATTGAATGTTGTGAAGAATCAAAGGTCTTGACGGTGAATATGTGTGGCATCGAAAGAGCAGGCGGTGTCACCAATGATGCTCCTTCCCTTCAATCTTGGGTCGATGGTACGAGCACCGTGACGACATTGGCTTCGTTGAGCAGCGTAGAGTGTCGACTACCTATTGAATGGACCGGATGCAATTTTGCACTCGAAATTCATTGAAAAAGAAGAGAAGAATCACGCATCTTCAACAAAAGGACGATATAAACTTTATTCACTAGTTCACTTCTACATCGTAATGGTTCATTTCAGGTAGAGTTCAAGGCCGAGTTTTGATGTCCCCGCCTCCGCAAGCCTCCAAAATGACATACCGTTAGCAGCTGCAAACCACTGCACTGCACTGCACTGCATCTCCTACCGTAACATACATCCTCTTCCCCCAATCTCACCAAAACCCTTTCTTCTCACATCACCTCGACCAACGCCAACCGCAACAATGGCGCCCGTCGACAGAGTAGACCACGATGCAATCGAGCGTACGATCACCTCTTCTTTCTCCCCCCCAGGAAAAAAAAAGCAGCAAACACTAACCCCCCCGATAGAACAGATCAAGGACGTCATCCAAGACTTCTACCGCATCATGGTCCAAGTCTCAACATACGATTCCATGGGCCGCCCCAGCAAAGAAGTCCTCTCCAACGAAATGTAAACCTCCCCTTCCCCTTTTCCAATTCCCATCCCCCCTTCACAACAAAACAGCTAACTCGTAGGAAAAAAGAAAAGCCCTCTCCACCTCCCTCCAAAACGTCCACGTCGCCGCCTCCCCGCCGAACCACCTCCCCTCCGTGCCCCCCGAGCTCCTCGAGTACGTCGAAAACGGCCGCAACCCGGACATTTACACGCGCGAGTTCGTCGAGCTCGTCCGCAGGGGCAACCAGCTCATGCGCGGCAAGGTCAGCGCCTTTGCCTCCTTCCGCGACGTCCTCGCCGAGCAGATGAGCGCCGCCATGCCCGAGCTGCGCGACGACGTGAGGCGCGTGCTCGAGGCGACGGGGGGCGACGCGGGGATTGTCGCCAGGGCTGCTGCTGCGAATAATGCTACCACTACCACCACCACCACTACTGCTACTGCTACTCCCACGGGGACGGCGGCGGGTGCGAGTGGGACGAATAGTAGTCTGCCGGCGAGACCTGCGTCGATGGGGAATGCGGGAGGAGGTCAGTAGGATTAAGGGAACGTGAATGAGGCATCGACGGGGAGTTTTTTTTTTGGTTTCGTTCTTTCTTTTTTGGGGGTGTGATCTTGTGTGGGTTTCATGGAAACTATCTAGACAAGGACGGTATTTTATGGCGTTTGAGAGGGCAACGAAAAATGATACCCCAAACTTCTTCACAAGCATGAAGCAGTCATGCTATAGTTCGCGTCATCTTTCATCCATTCCTGTTTTTTTCTTTAGTTCCGTTCTCTTCTGCTACTCCCAGAGCTCTATCAATTACCTACGGACATTTCGTCCGAGAATACTTCTGAACCATCACGCAGCCTGTCATTGATGTCGTCAAAGAGCAAAAGGCAAAGAACAACGCAGTGATAAGCAAAGAGACGCAAGGGTATCTGACAGTGGATTGTGGAAAAGACGGGTCACCCGCATTCATCTATATAAGGTAAGGATGCCATTGCAACTACCTTCGTCCCGCCTCCAGCCTCACCAACCTCCCTCTCCCTGGCTTCTCTCATTCTCCTCTTCCTTCTTCTCTTCTCCCGCTTTCTCCCTTTGAAAGACACCCGCCATTTCCAACATCAAACGCGTCATCCATTCAGCCTTTACAAGAAAAAAGTTGGAAAAGGAAAAGTAAAGAAAGAAAAATAGCCGGTTGACCACTCCCTCCCCCCTTTCACCCTCCCTTTCCACACACGCACACCCGACTCTGACCAAAAAAAGAATATCTCGTTCCTCTTTTGCCCTTCTGTGAGACAGTAATTGGCTTTTGTGCAAATATGAATCAAAAGATGGACAATGTGTGTCTTCGTCTTTCCCGGTTCTCTTTCTAAGGTGTCCCAAAAACGCCATAGCAATGAGGATGCGCGTCTTTTTTTCTGGTTCAAGGAAAAGAAATCAAGAAAAAAACCTTCAAAGAACAGGATGTGAAAAGAGAGGTGGAAACGAAAAAAATAAAAGAGATCCCAATGTCTATCCTGCGGTGTTGCGTCGGCCGTGACGGCGCTGCCGGCCGTCTCGTCTTATGCACAAGTATACAAATGCCGTCACCACCAAGCCCAGTGCAACCAATTGCGGAGGCAGCAAGACTACCGCCGCCAAAAGCCACATCCCATAGCGTCGAAAGGTTTCAACCAGCTCATTGCGATTCTCTCGGCGACGTTGAAAGTCGCCCTGTAGCTTGCTGCGTGGTGCGTCATCCGACCAACCGCCGACGAAGGGGTATCGAGGTTCGGCGTCAGACGCGCCATCTTCCTCGTCTTCCTCTTCTTCGTCGTCATCATCGTCGTCGCCCTCCGTCTCTGTTTCTTCCAGGTCGGTGGGTCACGAGTAGGGGAACCCAGCACCGGCACCAGGGAAGCCGCCTCGCTGGCGACTCCCGGCGCCAGCACCGCCAAAGTTGAAGCTCGCTCCTCCGGGAAAGCCTCCGGCGCCGCCAGGGAAGCCGCCAGCACCACCGGGGAAGCCTCCGGAACGGAATCCACCGCCTCCGAAACCGCCCTGGTTGCCCATCATGCTGAAGAGGATCTCGGGGTCGATGCCACCCATGCCACCGCCCATGCCACCAGAGCTGAACATGTCAGCCGGGTCAATCAGGTCATCGCCGTTGTCATAGCGCGCTCTCTTTCTGCATTGCGTGTTAGCACATCTTCATCTCTCTCAAAGTCACGAAGAGGTAAAAACGTACTGAGGGTCGCTGAGCGTCTCGTAGGCTTCCTGCATGTCCTTGAACTTGGCTTCGGCCTCAGCGTCGCCTGGGTTCTTGTCAGGGTGCAGCTTGACGGCCATCTTGCGGTACGCCCGCTTGATGTCGTTGGCATCGGCATTCTTTTCCAAGCCCATAATCTTGTAGTAGTCCTTCCGCAAGCTCTTCTTCATCTCCAGCTCTGCCCTGCGGATCTCCTGGCGGACCGAGTTGTCGCTCGGGTCAAGCTCTTGGATGGCCTTCCACTCGCGGACGCACTCTTCCCACTTGCCAGTCTTCCCAAGGGCATTGGCCTTTGTCTTGCGTGCCTTTGTGTAGCTGGGGTCCAGGCTGACGGCCCGGTCTGAGTCGGCAATGGCCTCTTCGTACTGATGCAGCTTGATCTTGCATTGGGCACGGTTCTGCAGCAGCTTGGCGTTCATGCTCTTGTTTGAAGGGTCAATGTCCAGGGCATCGCTGTACTTTTGGATAGCGGCTTGCCATCGGCCAGCCTTGAACTCGGCGTTGCCCTCCTCCTTCATGCGGTCAAGCTTCTGGACGATCCTGAGCCACTTGACGGCATCCCGGAAGTCGGGGTCGCAGCTGCAGGCCATTCGGAAGTACTGGATGGCCTTGTCATTCTCGCCCTGGCCGTAGAGCACGCGACCACGCAGAACCAGAGCCTCGGGGTCCTGGTTGTTGTTGCGGAGCAGCGACATGGCGATGCCCTGAGCCTCTCCCAGGGAGTTCTCGCGGCCCATCTTCAGATAGGCCTCGCCTCGCATCAGCTGCCACTTACGGGGCTTGCTCACGCCGGGGCCGAGGAGGCGCTCGGCCTGGTCCAGCGCGTGTAGCACCATGGACATGGCCGAGCCTCGCTGGAGCGTGTCCTTGGCCGACTTGATGTGGTGCAGCATCTCCCGGGTGGGGGCCATGTCCTTAGCAGAGGGCGGCGGGACGATGCGGGAGAAGATGGCCATGGCCTCGTCCGGCCTCCCCAGACCGGTGTAGATCCTTGCTAGACGCAGAAGCACCTTTGCGTTGTTTGGGTCGAGTTCCGCGGCGCGGCTGCAGTCATCCAAGGCAGCCTCATACTGGCCATTTGACATGTAGGCAGCCGCTCGGTTGCTCAGATAAGTTGCCGAGTTGGGGAAGAGATCCACAGCTGCACGACAGAGGAACAGTTAGCCCAGTTTATTATCATTTTTTTTTTTAAAAAAAAAGAGAGGAAAAAAAAAAAAAGAGCGACGGTGAAAAGATCAGAACGGGAAGTGGGACAACAAATTGCAAGAACAAAGGCAAGACAATGAAACAATAAGACAGTCTCCTGGTCCATCTGCGTCATCATACCTTTGCTATACTGCTCAATGGCCTTGGCGTAGTTCTTCTCCTTGAAGAAGCGGTTTCCAGCCGTCTTGTAAGACTCGGCATCCTCAATGGGCGAGGGCACGGGGCTGGAGGGGTTAGACTTGTGCGGCGGCGGCGCTGGAGCCTCGTCATTGCCGTTGACGTTGCCGTTGGGCACGCTGCCGTTGGGGATGGGCACGGCAAAGTTCTTCTGGGCCGAGGGATTCGCGGCGGGCTTGGGGGGAGGCGGCGGTGATGCCGCGCCGTTGACGGGCTGGGGGTCGACGTCCATCTTGGCTGACATGGCCGACAGGCGCTTCCGCTCTCGCTCCTCAGGGGGCAGGTTCAGCGGATGGATGTCCGAGTCGTACTTGCTGCTGCGGCGCGACGAGGAGAAGCCTGCGTCGGTCGAGTGGCGCGACAGGCGGGAAGACCTCGACGACGAGGGCGGCTTTGCGGCAGCGTTTGCGTCCTTGTGGTGGGAGACGGGCCGCGAGGACCGCTTGGTAGGCGACGGCGAGGTGGAGGAGTACGCCGGCGGGGGGTCGGCGTGGACGCTGGGGCTCTGCGTGTGCGGATGAGGACCTGGAGCGTCGTCGTCGACACTGGCACTGGAAGCAGAAGCGTTCTTCTTCGAGGCCGGTTTCTTATTGCCGCCGAAGAACTTCATTGGGGCCAAGGCTGTCGAAATCTTGGGGGAGGAAAAAGGCTGTCCCGACACAAGGTTATGCCGGATATTGGGGACTTGCAGAGGAGGGTACAGAGGCCTAGGCAATAAACGGGCATTAAGAAAGTCCAGTGCCGGCCGGTCTAGGGGGCTAGGCGCCACAGGCTGTCGGTGCACTGTGGCCGTTCACTGTAGAAATGGCCGGTTTCCCGATTTTTCCTGACAGAGGCTGGCGGAGGTGGGAGGATGGAATGGGAAGAGGCGCGATGCGATGCGCTGCGACTCGGGACCTTTTGACGAGGTCGGATCAGGAGCAAGAGCCAAGCGAACAGCCAGCCCTCGATTTATCAGCGGCACTGTGAAGGCTAGTCGAGGAGGAGGTAGTAGGTGGTAGGTGGTAGGCCGCAGGAAAGGTAAGTAATAAGGCAAGGCAGGGCAAGGCAGGGCGAGGCAGGGCAAGGTATTGAAGGTACTTGAAGTACCTAGTAGGCAGTTGGTTTCCAACCCAGGTTCACGTTCCCGCCAAGAGCCCATCAGCAAAAGGGACAAAGCGGTTTTTGATGAGCTGGGGGGCACGTCAGAGATTTCAATGGCCGGAGCCGTGGCGAGCCAAGGTCAAGGTGGGAAGCAGAACCTGAACATCCATGGGACCGGGCCAGTCAGTGACGATGGTGCGAACCTGGAAACGAAGGGCTCTGGCAGCCGCAGGTACCTGGCAGTAGGAGGTACGAGCGCCGCCGCGCAGACAGGCAGCAGACGTCAGCGGCATCAGCTGGCGCGGTGGTACCTGTACCGGGCCAGATTACAGGCACCTCCAGGCGACTAACGCCCCAACAGGCAGCGCCGGGCACCGTCCAGGCACGCGCGGCCCGGCACTGTGCTGGCCCGCTGTGCTCGCACCTTGACGCTGCGCCGCGAGCTGCGTTTCTGGCACGGCGCTGTCGCGGGAAGCGGGCCGCACGTCTGGCGCTGGGGGTCTCCCCACCAGACAAGCCAGACCAGACCAGCGAGCACGGCCAAGGCAAGGCACTTTGACTGCTGCTCCAGCCACGCAGTGCAGGGAAGAGGAGGACTGGACGGTGCAGGGCGCGTAGCCTCTGCATTTGCAGACGGACGCAGATGGGAAACGAGGCCAATGGACGCTGCAGCGGGCGGGCAGAGCTGCAGGCCATTGGCTGCTGGACGAAAGCACATGCAGCCATTCGCCGTGTTTATTTACATGTGCCCGCGGAACCCAGCGCTGCAACCCCCGGTTTCCAGCCCGGCCACTCAGCCTCTGTGCCACTTCGGGGCGACGCGGACGTGGGCTCGACGCTCGACTCGACTCGACGTCTCCGGTGTTGGAGGGATGCACTGCACCGCGCTGCACTGTACAGTATGTGCCAGCATCTTGCGCGCCACAGCGGCACGGAGCACCGGGTGCTTGCCACGACGATGGGTGATGATGAGACAGGCTATCGGGGCTTTGCAGTTAAGCGGATGGTGGTGACTTAGCGGTTCTAGAAGGTTCAGTGGGGCGCGATCCCGCCGCGACGGTGCTCGAGTTAAATTGAAGGCTGGAACGGCAGAGAAGTTGGATGGCTGTTGATGGATGGCAGTTGATATGGACTGAAATCGAACGGGGTTGGATGGAGGATGGAGGGATCCGAGGTGATAGTTGATAGCCGTCCACGTCCCAGTGAACTGACGGCGTGGCCTGGCGCCACCTTGCGTGCAGGCCGGTGAATGGCTCACTTGCGCACGCGGTCAGCTCCTGTGCGAGGATGCAGCTGCTGCCCGAGGGCGGCTGGGGTATGAGGCCGGTATTAGTCATTGATTGAGCGTGCTCAACTGTGCTGAAGTGCATCAACCTCCAGTTGGGACCCATTGGAGTGAATCAGGCGTATTCACGCATGTCTCTGTTTGGTCTGAGCCTCTCTGTTCGAGGGTGTCGACACGAATCGGGGTTCAATGGCTGAAAAGTCCCATGTACGAGCATTGTCAACTGTCAAGCAACCACCACGTACCGAGCCGTGCTGTAATATCCCGCTCCAAACCTCCCATGCCCTGCTGCTAAAATTATATGCTTATCCTCCTCATCCTCCTCCTACGCCTACTCCTACTCCCGCCTCCCTACAGCACTACCTATCCGGCAAACTTGACACATCGCGTACAACTAAGGTACTAGGTGGAAAGGAACCTCACGTCTCGAATCACAGCCCATCACACCTCGTCTGCCGGCGCCAGCCAAAGGAGAAAACTAGGCCAGACCTCTTTTGCCATGTCCTCTCCTTCTCCGCACCTCTTCCCACCCCAGCCGCCCGGAAATCCCAGCATCCCTGGCGGCTTCACGGGTGCCATTGGCCATCCTGGGGCTTTTTGCAATCTGCCGCCGGCCCATTCGTTTCGTCACCCCGCCGCCATCCTCAGCGAATGCTCAACATCCGGCTTATCTTGCGGTGCTGTGATTGAACAGCGTTGAAGAAGCGCATGCCGGCCTCTGTAGCATACATATGGAGCCAGCTGCTCGTACTCAGTCCTTTTGCACGGTTACTATACGAATTTACAAATCGAGCAGAGAGACAACTTTTGCTCTCGTCCTACGAGCCTGTTATTAGTCTGATACACACGACGGGGCGGCTGGCAGATCATTTCCAAAGTCTCAACCGCGTCCATCACACGGAGCATCACCTCCTCCGCAGTGGCTCATGGTCACTCATGCCAAGGTACCTTAAGTAAAGTATGTATGTGTATAGTATTAATTATGCAGACATGGATCGTAATTCATCCCATATAGTATCTCGTACACGTGTGCGGGTTACCCAAAAGAAGCAGAGACAGCTGAGAGCAGAAAGGGACGAACAAAGATAAAAAAGAACAGAAGCAGACAAGCTGAAAAGACAAATCCGCAGCCCGGACCGAGGGACTCATTCGTCCTCCTTAACAGGGCCATATCGGAACCAAGCCAGGCCAGGCCCGGCCCCGGTACCTGTGCCGCCTGTCCAGTGGAACACACCCAGTAATTGCATCGTGTCACTCCTGTCAACCCGCAAAAGAAACCGAAGCCCCCAGCACGAATCACCACCATGTGAGCAGGATGCAGAATGCAGAATGACAGCAGGCCAATCCACTCCGTCACTACTCGTCGGCTCTCTCGTGAGACCCTCCCTCGGCCCCGCCGTTGGACCCCATGATTGAGTGGACAAACTCCTGATATTTAAACACCTCGCCCCTTCTTGCCGATAAGTGCGCATTCATGTTGCGGTTGAAGGCTCGCCGGCCCGTGAACCCCTCGACCACCTTGTCGACCTCTGCCGCGCTGAGGGCCGACTGCCCGGCTTCTGGCGGTGTGTTGAGCAGAGCATCCCTCAGCTCCGCCCAGTCAATCTGACCGCTGTCGTCCTCGTCAAACGCCGAGAACGCAGATAGGAGCTCGGTGCTGGGTGACAGCACCGCTAGGGACTCTGCCAGCGAGTTGAGGAAGGCGGCTAATGTCATGGTCTGTGGTTTCGAAGGGGGAAAGAAGCGTCCTATGTCGGAGGAGCCTGAAGGAAGGCCTTTGCTCAGGAGTTAGCATATTGTAATCGGGATTTTCTCTTAGGCATCCTTTGCCGCGAGCGACTACAGCGGGAAACGTACCCAGCTGGCCGAGCATGTCGGCGACATCCTCCCTATTGACGACTCCGTCACAATCTCGGTCCAGAATCTGGAAACCATCCCTCAACGTCCTGACCTGGGAAGGCTGAAGCTGTGAGAGGGCGCTGCTACCGCCCAGAGAGCCGCCCGCTGCCAACTTGGACGTAGCCCTCCACGCTGGCGGCGATCCCCTTGTGGGAGTCGTCATTTCCGGTGTCTTGTCTCGCTCTGCGGTTTCGTGCTCCTCGTCGGTGGCGGTCGGCGTCGTTGGCCTCGCAAGCCTCGAGCTTCTGCTGGGCGTGGTGGCGCTGGTTTTCGTAGGCGAGCTCGTTGGCGTGATTTGTCGGAGTGGTGAGGGCGAAGACGGTGAGTCGACCCGACGGAATGGCGAGTTTCGAACGCTGGGAGGCGAACCGTAACCCAGGGGAGAGGGCTTGAACGTAGTGGACAAGGACTGGGACAATACGGAGAAGAAATGACGGTTTAGCAGATAAGCGAGACGGCAATGAACGGGGCGGCGCTCGTAACTCGTACGTACCATGATGCAACGGGGAAGGGATCTGTGCTGGGACTGCGTCCGCAATCGGTTGGCCGGCGAGCAGCAAGCGGAGCCGTCTGTATGTACGAGTATGTGCGTATGTATGTATGGACGACAGTATGACGCATGAGTTGCTGGCTGCTCGAGGAGATGCAGAATGTAGACAATGTTGGGAATGGCCCGGGCCGAGGACTGCTGCCAGTGATCTGGCTCGGTGGGGAGTTGATGCACAATTGCATCTGGAACCGGAGATCGATCGCGACCCCTTCAAAGTAAACAATCAATGTTGTCTGACCCGACAACCTGAAGGGTGGTGTGACTGGTGCTTGTGTGGCGCCGTGCGCGAAACGCGGGCCAGCTCAGCCACAGACGGCAGCAGAGACATGGCAGTGGCGTCACCAAGGTGGTCACTCCAGGCGCTTTGGCGCTGAGAGCCGCCCAGCGAAGAGCGCTGAGTGGGCGTGTTCAGGGCCCGGCGACGCGCTGCGAGCACCAGCACTGCACTGGCGCTGCACAGTGGCCACCACCAGACGTCTCAGAGGCTTTTCAGGGGTCCGGTCCCCTACACCACATTTCCTCATTCGGTGACACTAGGACACTAAGGCAAATACGGAGTTCCACACCCATGGCACAAAGATGCCCCTGTCTCGACTCTCGCCCAAGAGAACTCGTCGCAAACCGCCGCAAACGATGCCTCCAAGGCTCTCTGGCTCCCGCATCGATCCATTGGCCTCCGCCTCTTCTTCTTCTGCCTGCTGACGGTATTGTTTTCTTGCCATTCGTTGCTGCGCTGCCGCGACCGATTGACGGACTGGATAGTATCAAGACCACCAAAGGTCCCAGACGACCCTCTCGGAAACGACAAGTATAGACCGCTCGAGCCAGAGAGCAGTCCCAGAGCTGCCCCTGCGCGATAACCGGGCTGCAAATCCGGGTCTGCGCCGGACTTGTCTCGACCGAGGCGCTATCTCGTCTGAGAAGTCACAGGGGAAGCTCGGGGAAAACATCTACGTGAAGCAAGCCGACACGACACCCAGGCCTAGAACGACTTTGTGTACAACCTCCAGCGTTCTACAGCGAATTGGCCCGCGGGCAGGCGATTGAACAATGGCGGCGGCTCTGCCCTATGCCTCGCGCTCGAACGGCGCCAGCAGCTCGAATGTCTCACTGCCTCACCATCGCCGGACGTCTCTGTCCTCGTTCCCCCCCTCTCGCACTCCGTCGCAAATATCCTACAACTCGCGCCCATCAAGGTCGCCGCACCCGCCCATGGCCGAAACAGACCGGACCTCGGACCCGAGCGCCAAGTCCAAGACTTCCTCCATCGAACCATCCTCGCAGCATTCGTCCTTGTCTGCACCTCGCCGAACGAATGAGGATACGCACCCGCAGAAGAGGCCCAAGGCCCAGTATCCTCGCGGATCCTACGCCAACCATGTCGAGTATATCCTGGTGGCCTCCTTCGACATTGACCGCGGCCCGGTGATGGAGCACCAATACCCTGTCGCCATTACCGGAGACGAGAATATGTTGGCCGAGTTGATGCTTCCGGATCAAGCTCACGCGCGTAATCAGGACTGGACCATGTTCTTCCTGCACAAGGACTCTTCGCCGGAAGACGAAGACGAGGAAAGGAAGGAAAAGGCCGAAAGGAAAGCTCGAAGACAGAGACGGCGGGACAAGGCGGCGGGACTGGTCCCCGAGGACGGCGCAGAGGGTGGGACTGGCAATGAGAACGAAGACGACGACAAGGACGACGACTTGGACGACGACTTTACGGATGATGAGTCCTCAGATGGCGAGCCCGATGCCGAAGAGGGCGCGCCGCTCATCTACGTGCTCAACCTGGTCAACACCAAGCACGACAAATCCGTGAAGCGAGGCGCCATTGTCAAGGCCATGGCCATCTGCACCAGACATCCCTTTTTGCACATCTACAAGGTAAGCGATCATTGCGCTACTTTCGATATTGCCTCGACTAACAGTGTTGCCCAGCCGCTTCTGCTCCTCGCACTAGAAGAGTACTTCAAATCACCGGTGCCCGAGACTCTGTCCATGCTGTACGACTCCGTCAATGCGATGGACTTGTCTCTTATGCCCAAGTTGAGCTTTCTCGAGAGGAACCTGCTGCTGGCGAGCGACAACAAGGATCTGTTTGTGGAGAAGTTCGAGCGGATTATCCAGATGCGCATGGCAGAGGATAGGGCAGAGACCGCTACGGAGGGGTCCGGCGAGAGGAGCCAGAGCCCGCAGTACACAGGCGGCATCTCGAGGGCCGGCACCAAGGCGCATTTCGAGGGTGGGCAGTCGACGTATTCCGTGGCCCGAGACACGCACGAGTTTGAGAGCAAAGTCATGTACAAGGGCATCCCCATCCCCATCAAGGTGCCCACGGCGGTCATGCCCGAGACAGTGGGCGACTTCTCGCTCATCAAGTTGATACAGAACTTCTCAGAGGCCCACGCCAAGTCGCCGCAGCCGTTTCCGCTGCACCCGCACCTGACGACCAACGGCGTCAACACGCACCCCATCATTGTGCTGGTCAACGGGCTCCTGACGCAGAAGAGAGTCATCTTCCTGGGCCACAACATGCCGTCCGGCGACGTGGCCGAGGCGGTGCTCGCGGCCTGTGCTCTCGTGTCCGGCGGCATTCTCCGGGGCTTTACCCGCCATGCCTTTCCTTACACCGACCTGACCAAGGTGGACGACCTGCTCAACGTGCCGGGGTTCATAGCGGGCGTCACCAACCCTACCTTTGAGCTGCATCCGGAGTGGTGGGACGTGCTGTGCGACTTGCCCAGCGGCCGCGTCAAGATCAGTAGCAAGATTGAGATGGCGCCGGTGACGGAGGGCCTGATTTACTTCCAGCAGCAGCACCCCAACCTCGCCAACACGGCCAGCGGCGTCTCCAACACCACGCAGGACCTGACGGGGGACGCAGCCTTTATGTCGGATATCCTGAGGAGCATCGCCGCCAGGCATGGCGAGCGGGTCATCCGGGCCAAGTGGCGCGGCTGGGTCAACAAGTTTACGAGGATCGCGGCCCAGTTCGAGGAGAGCGTGTACAGCACATCTGCTCTGTACATTGGGGGCCACGACCAGGACCTGGCGCTGCCGGGGGCCAGCGGACACGGCTATGTCTGGCCGGACGACACTGCCAAGTTCAAGGAGCTGGCTGGCAACGTGACGAGGATCGAGGGGTGGCGGAACACGCGTAGTTACTACAGCTACATCCAGGTAAGGCGTCCTCATTCATCTGCCATTGTTTTGGACTTGATTTGGCTAAACCAGACCTACCTTTTCTGTTCCAGGATCTCGCGCGAATATACACCGTCCGCCCGCTCAAGGGGCTGGACCTCGCTCACATGCACGACCGGCTCCGCATGCAGCGCCTGACGCCGTCGCAGAGCAAGGACATCTACCTGACGCTGGCCAAGCACATCCACTCGTACGAGGAGATTTGCCTGCTGCTGGACGTGGCGCCCGAGTCGCAGGCGGGGCTCTTCTACATCGCGCTGGGCCTCTTCCACAAGGACCGCGAGGTGCGCATCAAGACGGCGGACCTGCTGCAGCGCATCTCGGAGCACGAGGCCGGGCAGCACTGGTGGAAGAGCCTCAGCCAGTTTGAGAAGCTGGCGTACAAGCGGATCCGGCGCGAGGCCGACGCGGAAACCAACAAGTCCAAGCTGGAGAAGGAGGGGCTTGTTCTCAGTCCTGTCATGGAGAGGATGCTGAGCTGAGCCCTTCCTGAGCCTGGAGCCTGAAGCTCAAAAACTGAGACAAGTTACCAAAGATACCTATGGATGGTTTTATAAGGAGGTGGTTTATCACTTTGGGGGGGAAACAATGATGACAGCGCGCACAGTTTCTGGTTTTGAGAGTTATACATAATTTTGGCAGCAAGCGATGATGGGATGAGAAACAGAAAATATTCCCGCAGGTCGTTTTATGAATTTCCCTGCTGCATTCATCATGAGATTAGCATGTTGTGTTCTAAGGGGTGGGCGTTGTTGAGATGGTGCGAAAGCGAAGCGATATGGATACCCGCGACGACATGATGGGAACTATTTTACTATCTTCTACATTTATTAGGCCAAATCATGGAAGGTAGACGACGTAAGACGTCTCTGCTCGGAAGATGGGTACGCTGACAACTTTCTTTTGCGATTTCAGCATTTGCCCATCTTGGTTCCGTGATTTTGGAGGTATAGGAGCGACATGGAGGTAAAGGTATATATACCCAGTATTACACCTCAGAAAACATTATCCTTACAAAGAGGGCTTTTGCAATGTGCTATTTCCTTACGATTCAGGCTGGATTAGAGTGCCATTTTGCTAGTTCATGGCGGGCATTCTTTTATTTTACAACAGGTTCAGGGCTTCTCTGTAGCCTCGTTCACTCATCCCGTCATCGGCCCCCTTTTAGTCTTTCGCTGCATGCTAAACATTTCTCCTCTCCAATCATAAGATTCAGGTCCCAAATGTTTTCGTACGCCCAGTCGAGATTTACAACAAGCCCAGGTGCTTAGCATGATGCTTCACATGATCCTCGCCAAAAGTCGAAATGAAAAAGTAAGAATGGTCGTACCCCTATAACGCAACACACACACACCAAGTCAGTCCAGTCACACCAAACAATCAATACTCACACCATCTCAGAGTGAGAAAATCTCAAAGCAAAAACACACATACCTCCTGGTATCGCAGGTCCAAGCCCTCAACTCCCGCCGCCTTGGCCGCCTCGGCAAAGTTCTCCGGCAAAAGCTGTCGCTGCTTGTAAAAGTTGTCCGCAGTCCCCTATACGCCATCGAATCGTCAGCGCCGAATACTTTTTACCCTTTTTCTTTTCTTTTCTTCACTTTCATCTCATGATAAACCCGAGAAAAACATACCACATCGATAAGGGCATTCAAAGAGCCCTTCCAGTGCTTCACCAACTCCGTCGCATCATGCTTCTTCCACTCCTCCCGATCCCCGCCGAGATACCCCGTAAAGGCCTTCTCTCCCCACGGGCACCCGCTCGGGTTCGCTATCGGCGACCAGGCGCTCACGCTCTGGTACTTGCCCGGGTTCTTGAGGTAGAGCGTCAGCGCCCCGTGGCCGCCCATGGAATGCCCCGCGATGGACACGCGCGTGGGGTCGAGCTCCTTGAAGTGGGAGAAGACCAGCTCGGGAAGCTCCTTGGTGATGTACGACTCCATCCTGTAGTTGCGCGCCCAGGGCTCCTGCGTGGCGTCGACGTAAAAGGACGCCCCGCTGCCAAAGTCCCAGGCGTCGTGCTCGCCCGGGTGGTCGGAGCCGCGCGGGGACGTGTCCGGGTACAGCAGCGCGAGCTTCAGGGGCGCGGCGTGGGCCTGCAGGAAGCCCTTCTCGGTGACGTTGTCCGGCGTGCAGGTGAGGCCGGAGAGGTAGATGAGCAGCGGGGCGGGCGCGGCCTCGGAGATGCCGGCGGGGAGGAAGAGGGTGAAGTTCATGGGCCCGCCGGTGAGGGCGGAGGTGTGGGTGAGCTTGAGGAAGCGGCCGCCGAAGGAGGCGATGGAGGCGTTTGTGGTGATGCCTGCCATGGTGGTGGAGGAGAAGACTGAGGGGTGTTTACAGATACGATGCCGGATAAGAGGTTCAATCAAGGTGAGAGGTGATGATCTTGCTAAGGAGAAGAGAGAATCGGAGAAGAAGGGTCTCATTAATAGCTAGCTAGTAGGGAGTTTATGAATGAAGGAAGAAGTTATCATTGACTGTCGTCGAGACTTATGGATCTTTTACCCCACCACCAGAAAGGAACCCCTCCATAGAAGCTCTGGTGTATTTTATCCCCATTTTCCATCATCATGACGCCCGAACTATGTCCGAAAGCAGCATTACCATTAATAAAGAGGCATCGGGTAATTGTATAAACGCTCGCCATATTTCCAAAATGAAGCAGAAACAAAGGGATTGGCCGCCCCCCCGATTGATCGACTCGAGGTAGGTAGTATCGGTCGTTGGGAGGAGAAGAGGCAGGTTGGAGTCGTTGCAGTAATTCAAACAGAGGAGAGATGCAACCCTCCATGATTAGTTCATGGTCATATCTTTTCTGCTGAAATCATGAAGTCGTCGTCTTCTTCAAGGAGCAGTCAAAGCTGGAAATCAGAGTGTTCCACTGAATCGCCCCCAGGTTGAACTTGTTCGCATAGTCAAAGTCGACGCTGCCAAAGGTGCACCCCGTCGGGCTCGTGCAGATCTCGCCGCAGTCGCCGATCCGGGGGAAGCACTCAAACGCCTCGCCGTCCGGGGCGAAGGTGCTCGTGTTCTGGTGGTAGGGCGCGGGCAGCTGGTGGCATGTGTCGAGGGCGTAGACGGAGTAGTTGCAGGTGCCGGTTGCGTTGGCGCCGGTGCAGAGGAGGACCTGTTGTTTTGTTGAAGACGGGTCAGTTTATATATCCAAGGTAAATCGACCAAGGTATAGAGGCAAGACGTACGCCGCCGATTTCGCGCTTGTGGATGGGCGTGCCGGAGACGGCAATGGCCGAGGAGACGATGGCGGTGATGATGGTGCTGAACTTCATCTTGATATAAGATATTCTTTGGTATATCGTATGTGGGGGAGTTGGGGAGGCAGTAGTATCAAGTGTAAGAACCAAGACGAAAAAAGAGTCAAGCCACAGATTGTCTTATAGGTAGATTGCGGTGTGCCGGTGAAGAAAGCTGATGTGCAGACGAGGAGCTGGATGGGCAGATGATATGTTTGTCTCGGACGACCTCTCGTGGAACCAAAGCCAGTATTTTATATCTACGGATTCCACAAAAGCTGCCTTGCTACTCCGATCTCTGTTTTCTCGTGTTTCCATCGCCTCCCTTGCATTCGCTGACCGACGTAATGCAGCACCCACAAAATGCCCTCTCGCTATCATTTCCCAACTGCTATTACTACTAGCACTACATGTACCTACTAGCATCCGTTTTTCTTACTCTTTTTGCCCCATAGAAGCTGCAGCAGGATTCTGACGTCTTTTGGTCCCGTATTGTCCGTGTCCGTTCCTCCCCAGCAGCAGCACGGCGGGCCTGCTAAAGCACATCCATCAGCCTTGGCAATCACCCGAGATCCGAGCAAAGCAGGGCATCAAATGCAAAGAAAACGAAGACCAACAACCAAATCTGGATCCTTCGTACTCCGTATGCACTACTTCCCTCCAGTGTTGCTGCACGCTATCCTGTGCGAGTGCGAGTCCCCTAAAAAGGATGCGATCCGAATGAGGAAACGGGGGCGTGAGACATACGAGAATTGCTGGGCTTTGTCGATCCCTGGGCTGTTTGTTCGTGAGCTGGGGGATGGGCTCGACGTCATGCGGATGGCTTGGCCGACGACAGACGCAGCCGCTGATCGACGTGGGCTGGGAAATACGAGGATGAGATATGGGGATGGGCTGTGTTTTTTTTCTTCTTTTGTGGACTCGATCGATTATTATTTATCATCTTCTTTGCGTGAAGAGGGAACAAGACACGTCATATTGGGCCTTGATACACCGGCTGACCGACCTGTAGACGTTGGGATGGAATACGATCTCTTGACAGCTTAGTACGACTTCCCATGGCAAACTCCCGTCGGTTCTGGAACAAAGAGTTCCTTGTATTGGGCCCAGGACATTGACATTCTTGTGCAACTTTTCAACCTGGACGTTCTTTTCCCTATGTACAAAGTACAACCCTGTTAAACAATCGATCAGAAGTTTGAGCCCTTTTTGTGTCTTTAGGTGATTGTATGTACACAGGCGGCCAGCAAACAACGGTGTACGTACGAATCGAGGATGGACGGCTAATGCATGCAGGAACGGCACTTTGCACCGCCTTTATTATTCTCCGCTGCCGGCTGTTGAGCGACGCTACCTTTATGATGCCTACCTATTAGGAGGCAGCAATGTAAAAACAGGAAAGGAATGTTGTAAATGTCTTGAATGTTAGCTTTATGATACATAATAGTCCAAGAGTCTCCTCGTATGAAGAGAAATATTAACTTGGTGCTCGTCTTTTTTCTTTCCCCAAGGGGCAAGAGCATAAAGACTGGACTTATCGTCGTCTCAAGCAAAGCTGGTTGCTGTGATGTCATCCGGCCTCTGTCACCTATTTTTAGGGAGCAGCATGGACGTGGCCCGGGGTTCAGTGTTAGCGCTCAGGGCGACTGCCGAGGGCTCGGTGTCTTAAGGATAGAGGGCATCCATGTCAACATCTGCCCTGTTCAAAAGTCCCGTCGTCTACAGGACCGCAGCAAGACGTAACGTAGCAGCCGTGATGCCACGAAAAGTCGCATGTGCTGTTTCTCTTTTGACGGAATCGTGGAAGCTATCTTGTGGCAAACAACATCGCTCTTCGCTTAACATACCTTACCTTGGGGCAATGAGTATTAAGGGGTTCAGGCCAAGGAACGGCGGCAAGTCTGGCAGATGCTCCAAACTTGCACCCCAGATATTCAGATCTTCTGTTTGAAAATGACAGAGATAGGTAAGTGTTATTCTTATTGTTTATTCTTATATCTATTGTCGAATTGGTATAAGGCACTTTGCAGCATCCGTAGAACGTAGCTTTTATCCTCCTAATGCAAAATCAAGTTGTACACTCTTGGACTCGGACCAAGTCCAAGCGCTCTCGGCCTCGCATGTGGCTCCTATGTCGTTCTTACGTTGTTTAGTGCAGTCCTTGAGCTAGGCATGCAGTGGCTCCTCAGATGGTAACAACACCAGAGAGCCCCAGCATGGTGACCGAACAGTGCGTGATCCTTGGCCAAGATCAGTTCGTATCACACTAAAGACTGGATGGCGCAATGGGCCAAACATGCCATCTTGAGCTGGTAACCGAGAGCTGAAATCAATCGAATCTCGAAACGCCACGCTGATGAACCAGTTTTTTTCCGTCGACAGGTCAAAGGTAGGGCTGACGAGCCAGGCCATCGAATCCGCCATCTTCTTTCGAAAGGAAGTGGCACGGATCGAGTATCATCATGTTCACCTTCGTCCTCTAAGCCAGGCATCGTCTACTGAAGAAGCTCTTCGCAGGTCCAGTCCTCGTAGCTGTAACCGATGTCAGGTCACTGCCTCCAATCTCTCCAACTGGAGCACAACTTACTATCCATCAGGCATATACCGTCGCACAATCAAAGGGATCTTCTTCTCGCGCAGCTCCTTGATTGCAATCTGCAGAGGATCCGTCTCACCCTCGAGGTCGACGAGCACGGGCGCGTTCATGCTGCAACCAAAAAGTTAGCACATCCGCAACGCTATCCATCTCTTTTCGGTCCCGCCAATTCCCACCTGATTTGCAGGGCTCGCGTGCCCAGGATGCGCGCTCTCTCGTATTTCGTCATGTAGGGCGTTGTCGTGCGCTGGTCGTCGGGAATCTTCTTGTTTTTGACGGACTTGTCCTTTGACGCGTTCGCGGCGGCAGATGGGTCCCCAGAGATGACCACGTTATCCTGGTCATCCCCGTTCAGATGCTCAGCATCCTCGTCTTCCGGAACCTCAGGCTCGTAGAACTCCGCCACCTCGTCCTCTTCCAACACTTGCTCGTCGCTGCGCACAAGGGGGTCAGCCTCCGTCCAGCAGCCGTTTTCCTCGTCTTTGCTGTTGCTCTTCGTCTGCAGAAATGCACTTACCCGCCAACGCTAACATCGTCATCGCCAAAGTCAGACATTGTGAGAGAGCTGAATGAAGCACAAAAGTCTGAGGTGTTGATGCAGAAGTTTGGGTATTACTGGGACAAGTTGCGCGCCTCTCCCAGCTTCAGCCTCGCGAAAAATTATTGATCCAACTTGGCGAATCTTCGAGACTCTCCGTAGTTTTTCCGGCGATATTGGCTAGCGCACCCGTCTGGGCCTCCCTCTAGCGCCTTCCCTACTTGCTGGGCCGGGGCTGTTTGGGCAGGTGTAGCATGTGTGTAGGTGGAGAAGCATACTCCGTTGGTACCTACATAGTGGGCCGTGAGGCCAGGCTATATGCATAATATCACGTGACGTGTGACATGCTACAGCAGGTGTAATTCAACATCGCTATTGCTATTTTCGTCCTTGGCGTTGCCTTATCTTATCGTCCCGTGACCCACCTAAAAGTTTCCCAAAATCTGCCAATTAATTCCAACTCGACGACGACGACGACATGCAAGCAGCTCTGCAGCAATTGACAGGCCGCCATGAGCAAACGGGTGGCCGCAGAGGCGGCGCCTGGAGCGTCTCCTCGCAAGAGACTGAACACCGGTGGCATTGGGGCCTCACGTACGGCTTGGACCTCGCTAGCAATAGAACCCCCCCCTTTGGGAACGAACGGCTAATTCGATATCTTATAGACCTCGATGTAGACGATGGCGATGACGATTATACCCCGACTTCAAGCCGGGCCTCAAGCGCAGAGGTCGACTCCACCATCACAGCCGCGACGACCCCTCGGACAAAGTTCCCGTCCGACTACAAGACGCTGGCATGCTCGTGGCCAGGATGCACCAAGAGCTTCAACCGTCCCGCCCGGTTGAGGGACCACATGAACTCTCACACCAACTCCCGACCCCACAAATGTCCCTACGACGGCTGCACAAAAGACTACATCGAGGACAAGCACCTGAAGCAGCACATCAAGGCCGTCCACACCAACGACCGGAAATACGTCTGCCAGCGAGAAGGCTGCGGAAAGAGCTTCGTGACGGGCACGAGGCTGAAGCGCCACCAGCTGGTCCACGAGGGCGCCGACCGGTTCCGCTGCCAGGACTGCGGGCAGAGCTTCAGGAAGAAGGAGACGCTCAACAAGCACGTGCGCAAGGAGCACCAGGGCTTGCCGGCACATCAATGCCCGGAACCCACCTGCTCGGCGGCGTTCGACTCCAAGGGGGCGCTGAACCGGCATCGCGAGCGGGAGCACGGGCCGCTCAAGTATTGGTGCATGGAGTGCGCGCCGCAGACGCGCGAAGACGGCACGACGTACAGGGTCGGCTTCACGACGGACACGCAGCTGCAGTCGCATATGCGTCAGGAACACCAGAACTGCATGTTCTGCGACTACAAGTCCAGCTCGCTGTGGGAGCTGGAAACGCACATTGAGATCCACCATTCCGGAAAGACGGTCGAGGACCGCAAGACGGTGGCCTGCCCCCACGCGGGCTGCGACAAGAGATTCACCAAGAAGTCCAACCTCAACGTCCACATCCGCACGGCGCACGAAGGCTTCCGCTTCGTCTGCGGCCAAGTCGACCTCGCCGGCCCCGGCCTCGAGCAATGGACCAACGACCAGGGCTGCGGCGACAAGTTCAGCACCAAAGTCCGGCTGGAGGACCACATCCGCTTCATACACCTGGGCCAGGAGCGCCCGAAGCTGTCCAAGGCGGAGAAGCCCGCCACGGCGGACCACCTCATCGACGAGATATCCGGCGTGGCCAACGTCAAGAAGCAGACGTTGCGCTGTCCCCAGTGCAGCGAGGGCTTCATTCGCTACTTTGACCTGAACGCCCACGTCGCATTCGCCCACGGCCCACCTCCCGCCATTGACGACGACGACGCCGTCGACCCAGCAGCATCCTTTGCTGCGACTGGTAACCCATCCATCTTCGCCGATGGTCAGGAAGGGAATCATCATTCTCTCGAGCAGCAGCCCTCTTGGGCGGCGGAATTCACCCAGGGGGACATCTTCTCCGCGCACATGGCGTTTGGGGCAGCGGGGCAGGAAGGCTGGATGGAGGACGATGCGACGCTTTTGATGTTGGCGCGTGGGGAGACGGGCTTAGATGGGACTTCGATCGATCCCACACTGGGAGGCTTTTGAAATGTTGGGAGAAAAATCCGGCGTCTATAATTCTTTTAGAAGGTTGAGGAAGGAGGGTGAACCTTCGCTGCAAGTTCTCATGATGCAGATCAAAAGGGATAAATATCAGGGTTGCTTCTGGAGCAGCTGGACAACAACTACATACTACTACAAGGTAGAGATGACATACACATACAGCGTCAAAAGAGGCGTCACGACATTAATGACAAGCATCAAATTATTCACAAAAAAGTACCAATCTGTGGATTTCTATACCCGTTTGTCCCAATCGCTCACAAATCGTGAGGGGCGGTAACAACAATCAAACGCTTCCATAACCGCCTGTAAGGTCCCTTGTCCAGTACCGATGCAAAGCCAAGACCCTGACGCCCAGATCTCCTTCAGTCCGTGTGTGACAAAAGGGTGCAGACATAAAACGATAACAACAAGCATGCGAACGCTCCTTGACCGTGAATCTAATATACCCGCAACAAAGAGGGAAGTGCTTCCGCCGTACAGAGAGAGAGGGAGAGAGACAACCCCTCATCATGCATAGGAAAAAAAAAAAGGTGCTTATTCAAACCGCCTGAGCCTTAGACGCAGCGAAGAATCCAACATGTGTGAAAAGGGCCGGTAGGTAGTTTAGGGTTCCGCCACCAGAGCGTTGCTGAAACCGAGCAAACACATGCCCAAGAAAGCAAAAAATACACAAAGGTTCTGGTTATGATTGAAGCTCAAGCTCTCCACAAACAGCTGCAGCCCGACACTGACCATGATGCCCGCTGTCAGCGCAAACAGGCACGCATACGCAACTGCGCTCGGCGCCGTGTTCGTCTTGTTGGCAAGCTTGAACCACAGAGCCGCAATGCCTGCGCCAAACGGTTGCGACAAGCCGCCCAGGACAGCCGACCAGGCCATGGCCCGCCAGCGGGATCCAAGGGCCATGTACAGAGGAAGGGCCATGGCAAAGCCTTCGGAAATGTTGTGAACGAACAAGGCCATGAAGACGTTGAACCCGAGCGCGGGGTTGGCGTGGTTCGTGGCATAGGTGATGAAGCCTTCCGGAAACTTGTGGAGGGCAATGGCGATGGACGTTTGCAGACCTATGGAAAGGAAGGCATTGGTCGGAACATGATGGTGATGCTGGGCTTCGGCGTCGCCCTCGTCCATCTGCGAACAGGGATAGGCGTTGTCGCTAGTACTGGAGTCTTCGTCCGTGAGAGTTGTAGAGTCACGAGAGGCCAACCGGCTTGGGCTGATGGGTACGTCGTTGGGATCCCCATTCGCGGGATCATGAGTGGCGTGGAACGAGTGGTGGGCTTGAAAGTGTCCCGTGATGGAGCGTACGGACGAGGGTTGGCGCACACTTGCTGCGCGGTTGCTGAGGTGCTTGAAGCACTCTTGGCCGCAAGGATCAGAATATCCGTAGCAAGGTCCGGACTCGCTGCAATCGCGCTTCATGTCCTTGACAAAGGACATGACCCGCCTGGGGACCTCGAACGCGGAAGAGCGTCTGCTGGAATTGACGGCATCGGCGCCGGTGGTAGCACGACTGCGGGTAGGTGACAGGGAGCTGCCGTCTCTTATCGAATCGCGGACAGGTAAGAAGGGGTTGGGGCGAGTCCGCTCCGAGTTGAGCAACGGGGTCGACTCGCTCATGAGGGGTTGGGCCTCACTGCCCTCCGTAATATCTGATATCTTGTTGTCAGGGGGTCGGGAAAGTCGCCGTCTGGCGCGGCTCGGTCGTGAATGCGCTCGGTCGAGAGGGTGGGAATGACCGTCCTGAGACGCTCTACCGCCATGGCTATGATCGCAGTCAACGACGTGGGAAGGCATAAATTGGTGGAGAATTCGCGAAACAGCCTGGATGCCGAAGAATCCCAAGGCGAAGCAGAGCATCATGACCAGGCCAGCAGCTTGGTCAGACCAGCCCTCCTGCTCAAAGTAGTCTTTAGACTCGGGGAGCATGCTGTAGAGTGAAGAGAAGAGCTGTAGCAGTCGAACAGTGAGGTCAGCCATCTGCGTTGCACCGTTCAATTGATGATGAGACATTGATGCTGACCATGACGCCGAAACTCAAGCTCAGCGAGCACGCGAGAAAGACGTTGCTGTCTTGGATACGGAAATTGGCCTTGCCCGGGAGCAGGCGCACCAAGACGTCGATGCAGATGATGGACGCGCCCACGACGCAGGCTTCACCACACATTGTCAGCAGCCTGTCCACGGCCATACCATAATCGACAGCCCCGTCGAGGCATCACGTACCAACGCCGCTCGCCACGGCCAGAATCCACCCGCGGGTGTCATTGTCGACGCTCGTTGCCGCCAGCAGCATGGCGGCTCTGCTCTCTTCCCTTCTCTCTCCGCGAACAAGATGGGCTCGGCTCGGCTCCTGCGGCAAGCGTCATCAAGCGGTTTACGTGATGTGTCTGTCAGCTGGAGGCAGAGTGGAAGCGTGTCGATGGATGCTCGTGGAAGAAGGCCGTCTTTGGTATCCAATTCTCGAAGCAAGGTTGATGCTTTTCGGCGGTCGTGTACGATTGATTTATAGTGTGAAAGGCAGAGTCGAGGGTGTTTATAATGCAGGGGAGGAGGCTCGGCAGGGCTTTATCAAATAGAGGTGCATAGGCTTGATGCTCTAGCAGGCCGCTGACGTAGGAGGGGCCCGGGGTCTTTTTGTAGGTAAGGGTGCAAGGTAGCCTTTCAGGTTCTTCTACAGCGAGGCGGCGGCAGAGAAGCGCTGCAGCAGGTGCCTAGCAGGGCAGGGCAGGACAGGACAGGACATGGAGGGCAGCAGCCTGGTGTCAAGGTTCAAGATCCAATCCATTTCTATTTTCAGCAGGCCTGCCGTTGGTTCTCTGCAAAGCACATGTGTCTCAATAATTTTTACTTTGCACTGGATCTTCCCCCAGCCAACGATCCAATCAGTGAGTTCCTGCACTGGCCAAAGCGCCGTGTCTCTGGTGCATGTGGCCTTTGTTTTCTGTCTCGTGGTTTGTGAGCTGAAAAGTATACTACTGCCAAGCCCATGACAGTTGAACGGTCAACTCAACCCGCTTACAGATCAGGGATCCTTCAGGCCATCCAGGTTCTCTCCAGTCAGCGACACCCCCGTCACACAACTGGCGGGAGGTGGCAGAGCTATCAAGGTTCTCACGGCCAGGAATTTCCCCCTCCAGACTCACTCCTGACCTGTTCCTCTGACACACATCTTCTCGAATGAGCATCCAATGCATCGCTCTGCAAGGGAAAAGAAAGGAGGAGGTGCGTGCGGCTGGTTTACGCGCGACCTTGAATATGGAATTTACAAAGGGTATCTGCACCGGTCCTCCTTGAAGACGGGTGATATTAGGGCAACTGACATGCAACCTCGCAACAAGCCCTGAGCCGGGAGCAGAGACGTGGCAACCGTGCGCCGCACACCATACCATCAGCATGAACAACATACTGATCAGGGACCCAACAAGCGGCGCATCGAGCATCTCCGATTCCCTCTCGATGGCACCAGCATCCGCCAAGCGCCAACAGCGCCAACAGCACCCTCAAGCGTCGTCGTCGTGGACAGCCGTCGAACAAGGTCTGACAAAGCCGGCACCCGGCCTGGAGTGCCAATGAGTTTCTTGTCCTCACAGCCTGCAATCGCCCTTGTTCCCTCGTAATACTCGAGCTCTCTGCGGCCCGGGCGAAGTTACCTTATTGGCACCCCACTGCGGACACTTTAAACCCGTTGCGGTTCTTTGTGTGACGAATCACGGCATCATGCTTTGTAAACCGCATGCAGCTACGGTGCGAGATGCGAGTTGCCGGGCCAATCGGATGCGACGAATGGCCTTTGATATTGCATTTTCCGTCGATATCAGATGGATGTGGTGAGATGATGTGAACGAGCCAGCTCGCGATCACGGCTGTTAGGGCTACGTTGGAATTTCCAGACTGCAGAGCCATGGTTCCATCATGAATCTGCGCTCCATGAAGTGGCCATGCAACCACATATGCTAATTTACTTACATGTATCCTCGAAGCACATGTTGGCGCCCACATTACAAGATACCCAGGTGCTATAGTTCGATTAGTCAAACTGCAGCAGAACATCAATGCTTCAAACGGTTGCCACCGTATAACGCTTACTTCTAATGTTTGAGCCTACGTACTGGTAGGTAGTCTAGGCCACGGCGGACCGGAACGGCGTCGGATGAGGTGCTTGAGTATATCAGAACCTTACGGGCAGAGCAGCGACCTCTACTACTGTCTAGAGGTACCTAAGGTATGCCCATTCCCAACCCACTTACATCTGATGTCCGAGACACCAAAGGACATTCAAGGGCGTGCGGAATATAAAGTCGAGGAGGAGGTGATAGCAAAGTAGATCTACAAGATGCCTTGAATGATTCCGCCTACTATTGGAAGTACTCCGTACCTACTTGTACTACGGTAGACCGACTCAATTACAGTGCACTGATTTCGCTTACATGATCTAACTTGCGCCGAGTGACCCGAATTTGAGCCATCTAAAGAGCCTACACAAGCAAGATAAGCATCTCAAATAAAAGCGCCAGGCTTCAAGGGCCCCGGGTTGGTGTTGCTCATATCTCGGCAGTGTTTGCATCACCTGAATTAAACGTGCAGACGCAGGCCAGGGTTTCAGCTCCGTCATGAAGATTCCAAGAGCCCCTGATGCACTACTGGAATACGGCTACTATTTATAAGCCATGGAGGAAATTTAACGCATTAGCCTGTATTCGTCAAAGATGAAGTCGAAGATATCGATGTAAATGTAGATATTGAAACCTCCATCAATGTATCTTGTATCGACTGCAACATGGGGAGTGTTTCTGCCTCATCTTTGCTCATCTCCAAATCTTTCTCAGGCACATTCTCCTGCTCGTTCTGGCAAGTTCCACGTTCTCTTCGAGGTGGGGCGCCACCATGCACCTCCCGGGCTGCTTAATTGCTCCCCCGCCTAAGATTTAGGGAGTCCTTCAGGGCCCAGTCCCCCACTCACTCGCCCCAACAAAACCGCAGCAACCCGGGCCAGGAGCGAATCAGCCACCGAAGACGTCATGCATTCAAACTGGTCCCGAGAGGCGCAAAAGGGTCAACTTTTCGTCTTCGGGCATCGATACAACGAATCTCGCAAACACGGTATTCCTATTGACATCTGCGCCGCAATCTTACGACTCCTCGCCAAAATCACACGGGGAGCACGCTTCGCCATATATGAGCTGCGCTGTGTACGGTTACTCTCCTACCCTCTCTCAGGTAGGATGTGATTAAGCTCTCAGGCTGCGACAACTTGCAATCACCATGTCGGCCGACAAGACAACGAAGAAGCCCTATCCCGAGCTCGCCCCCTACGATGCCTCGTACGGCTTCCCCCGCGATCTTTTCGATCCATCAGCCTTGCCAAACTTCGACCGCGATTACCTCGATTCCGAAGACTTGATCGCCTTCGAGACGGCGTTGCAGGCGCCTGATCCCTTACAAAGCCCCATCGACGACACATCCAGCCTCAAGTCGCCGAGGAGCGTCAGTTCAGTCAATTTGACCAAGAGAGATTCGGTGGCTGGCAGCGTCCTGGAAGATGACGTCGCCGCCGTCGCAGCAGCCGCCAGTGCTGCCGGAGGAGACCTGCCTGTGCCTCCCACTCCGAGCATGGGGACTTTTGTCACGGCGCAAAACGACTGGGCGCCCGTGAATCCGGGCAAGTACCGCAACAAGCGAGGGGCCAAGAAGAAGAAGAGAGGCAGAGGCGCGGTGGAGGGCCTGCTGGGAACTCGAACAAAGGACGAGACACGAGAAGGCTATCTGTACCTACTCTCCAAATGGCCTCTGCTCTTCTTTGTCTTCTCGTGGCTTATCGGACTGAGCATTGCGTATCTATCTACGAGATGGTACATTTGGTTCTACGAGCACTTCTGGACGTGGCGAGGCCGACGTGAAATCCTGCGCAAGAACATGCGTAGAACGTCGAGCTATAACGGCTGGGTCGCGGCGGCGAAAGAGCTGGATGACTATCTGGGCCGAAAGAGCTGGAGAGAAGTGGACGACTTTGCTTACTACGACTCCAAGACTGTGAAGCGGGTGTGGACGCAAATTCGCAAGACGCGCCTCAGGGCAGAGGCCCTTGAATTGGAAGGTGACCGGCAGGAGCTGAAGAAGGCTGTTGACGACTTGAGGTCGCTGATGGAGGCCTGCGTCAAGAATAACTTTGTTGGCGTGGAAAATCCAAAGCTGTACAGTCAAACATACTACGGGACCAAGAACCTTGTGCAGAATTTCGTTGACGACGGTAAGCCGCCCGTGTTAGCCTTGATAGAGATCAATTCTGGATACTAACACCCCTGCCTTAGTTGAGAAGAGTCTCCGATTCCTGCTCAAGACGGAACACCTCGAAGCCGACGAGAAGCGGATCCTGTTCAAGCACATACACGCCAACTACGGACGAACCGCCCTCTGCCTGTCCGGAGGAGCTACGTTTGCCTATTACCACATAGGTGTTGTCAAAGCGATGCTTGACGCCGACCTCCTGCCCGACGTCATCACTGGAACGAGTGGAGGCGCACTTATAGCTGGTCTTGTGGCCACCCATACAAACGACGAACTGAAGCAGCTTCTGATACCCGCACTCGCTCATCGAATTACTGCCTGCGGTGAATCAATGACGACGTGGTTCCCCAGATGGTGGAGGACTGGCGCCCGCTTCGACTCGGTCGACTGGGCAAAGCGGTGCTCATGGTTCACGAGGGGTTCCATGACATTTAGGGAAGCATTCGAGCGGACCGGCCGCATCCTCAACGTCAGCTGTGTCCCAGCCGACCCTCATTCACCGACCATCCTGTGCAATTATCTCACAAGCCCCGACTGCGTTATCTGGTCGGCAGTGCTCGCATCGGCGGCTGTCCCGGGAATCCTCAATCCGGTGGTGCTCATGATGAAGACGCGTGACGGGACCCTGGCGCCGTACTCCTTTGGCCACAAGTGGAAGGACGGCAGCTTAAGAACGGACATTCCCATCAAGGCGCTGAACACGCACTTCAACGTCAACTTTACCGTCGTCAGCCAAGTGAACCCGCACATCAACCTCTTCTTCTTTTCTTCAAGAGGGACCGTGGGCCATCCCGTTACGCACCGCAAAGGGCGAGGCTGGCGTGGCGGCTACCTCATGTCGGCCATTGAGCACTATCTCAAGCTGGACATGAACAAGTGGCTCAAGTTTATCCGACACGCAGAGCTGCTGCCTCGCCCTCTCGGACAGGACTGGAGCCAGCTCTGGCTGCAAGAGTTTGGCGGCACCATCACCATCTGGCCCAAGTCCATCCCTTCCGACTACTGGCACATCTTGACAGACCCTGACGCGGAGCGACTGGCGCGGATGATACACGAGGGACAGCAGAGCACATTCCCGAAGCTCAAGTTCATGTCGAACCGGCTCAAGATAGAGAGACTGATAGAGCAGGGAAGGCGAGAGACCAGGCCATGGGCTCGAAGAGGAAGCATGCAGAGGATCTACAGCGACGATGACTTGAGAAGCATCCTGCTAGAAGAGATGGCCGTGACGTCTGCTTCAGTGACGGAGGACGACTCGGAGCTGGATGGCGAGACGCTTACTACTGAGATTAGAGCTACACCGTCGCAAGAAGGCGACGAGAAGGATGAGGTTAGCATTTGACAGGGCCATAGAGGGCAGGACTGAAGCAGATTGATTGTGGATTCAGGCGTATTAAATATCATTGGCGTTACATAGCTGTGCAATACAATTAGCGAGTAGCATTTTGAAAAGGGCATGCCAGAGATGAGGACACATTTTGTCTTATGTTGACAAGATACAACGCATCCATGTGATTCTACGACATGCCTATTTGGATGATTGATCACCAGTCCCCGGAGAAATTGTATGTAAGCAGCGCGGCGTCACTGTACAGCAGCGAAGCCACTAAATCACAGGCCAGCGTTAGCGCCCCAGCGCGGCAACAAGGTGCCTGTGCCGTCAGCGTGGCCCTTATTCTGGCCTTATTGCCGCTGGGCTGGTGGCGCTTCCACGTTCCTTATGAACACGGTGGCGGGACCGAATTTGTGGGGGAGCCGGATTATCCAGTTGGCCCGAGCCTCGCCTGCCGCTCTTGCGCCTTCGCCATTGCTTCAGAGGACAGCAGGACAACTTTTTGAAAAAGGGCAGCTTCAAGCATTTCGCTGGCCGTTCTTTTTTTTGTTTATCCTGCGACTTGACTCATTTGCGAGCCGGCTGAGCTCGACGAGGCCGTCAAGATGAGCTCAGACTACTCGTACGACGAACAGGTATGTGGACATGTTTACCGTTCCTTTCCGTCTGCGGCATGGCGTTTTGGCGAGTGTGGGCTTGAAGCTCTCTCTCGAAGAAGCATGGCTGGCGATGGCTGACCGTTGACTCTCGCTGCAGGGCCAGTTCTTCCCCTTCTTCATCCTGACCGTCACCGGCCTGGTCACCCTTCCCTTGACATACAGCCTCTTCCGCAAGAGCACCGACAACGATGCGCTCGCGCCGCGCATCTCGTCCGACTACACCATCAAGCATGGCGACGTCGTAGCGTCGCTGCGTGCGGCGCAGAAGAGGAAGCAGCGCAAGATCAAGCGGGCCATCTTCGTCGTCTTGGGGTGGGCTCTCATGGCCGGCATGGTCTATCTCATCTTGACGACACAGAAGATCATTCCCAAGATTTGGAACCCTTATGATATTTTGGGTATCTCAGAGGTAAGGAAGACACAAGGCAAGAATGGGTGGCAGGGAGAGGCGAGAGAGCTAACATTTGCGTCAAATGCAGTCGGCTACTGAAAAACAAATCAAGTCACATTACAAGAGGCTGTCCGTCAAGTTCCACCCGGACAAGGTCCGACCCGATCCCTCCAAGAACGAGACGGCGGAGATGCTCAACGACCGATACGTTGAGCTCACGAAAGCATACCAAGCCCTGACGGACGAGGAAGTGCGAAACAACTACATTCAATACGGTCACCCCGATGGCAAGCAGAGCTTCAGCATCGGCATTGCGCTGCCTCAGTTCATCATCGCGGAGGGCAACGGCAAATACCTGATTCTGCTCTACACTGGGCTCATGGGCGTTTTGCTGCCTTATATGGTTGGCTCATGGTGGTACGGAACCAAGCGGATGTCGAAGGAGGGCGTCTTGATGGAAAGCGCCAACCGCCTGTTCCGACACTACAACGAGGAAATCGACGAGGGTGGCATCATCACCGCCCTCAGCACCGGCAAGGAATTTGAAAACATCCTCAAGGGAGACCAGGCTGAATCCGGCCTGTCCAAGGTCGAATCTCGCATCACGGCTCCGGGCGAAACCGCACCATTTGCCTGCGGCTTCTCTGTCAAGGACAAGGAGAAGCTTGAGGATCTGGACAGCGGCGTGCGACGCAAGGTGCTCGCCTTGCTGTGGGCTTACCTCGGCCGTGTCGAGCTCGACGACCCTGCGCTGACCAAGGCCAAGTACGAGGTCGGCGCGATTGCCCGGACACTGAACCAGTCCTTCGCCGCGATTGCGCTGGCATTTGGCAGCATCGGCCCCATCGCGGGATCCTTCAAGGCGAACCAGCACCTCATTCAGGCTCTCTCCCCCAAGTCTTCTCCTCTGCTCCAGCTCCCGTACATCACCGACAAGGTTGCCGCGGCTATTGAAGGCGACTCGAAGATCCACCTCACTGTGCAGCAATTCATGGACCTCCCCGACGCCGAACGGCGACGACTTGCTATTGGCAAGGATCTGCTCACTGAGGAGCAGTACAAGGAGGCCATCAAGGTTGGCAAGCAGCTTCCATATCTTCGCGTCGCCAAGGCATTTTTCAAGGTCACCGGCGAGAAAGTCATAATTCCCTCGTCCCTGGTTACCCTCGTCATCAAGGGCCGCTTCATCCCTCCCGGTACCGAGTCGATCCCGCCCATTGACGAGCTGTCCCTGGAGGACATTGACCCCGCTGAAGATGATTTGGATGCGCTCATGGGACGCAAGAAGAAGACGATCAAGGGCCCTGATGGAAAGCCTGTCTCGGTTGAAGAGAACTCTGTTCTGCCACCTCTGACTTTCGCCCCTCACTACGCTCGCGAACATTCCCCCAAGTGGTACGCTTTCCTCAGCGATTCCAAGCAAGACAAGATGGCGGTTCCCCCTTTCACCTTTGACAAGTTTGACCAGCCCATCTTTGACGAGGAGGGCAAGCCCACGTTCAACATGCAAACCCTCAAGGCCCAGTTCGCCGCTCCCCCCCAACCGGGTCACTACACTTTCTGCATGCACGTCATTTGCGACTCATATGTCGGATTCGATACCAAGATGGAGGTTACCCTCGTCGTCGAAGATGCCAGTAAGGCGGCCCAGATGGATGCCGAGGATGATATCAGCGAACCTGAAGAAGGTAAGACGCCCCGTTCACCAACCTCAGCCAAGTAAGAATGAATGCGCTAACATGTAGTTTGCAGACTCTATTGCTGGACAGATGCGAGCGCTGAAGACCGGTCAACCCGTTGGCCAGAGCACCAAGCCCAAGCGGAAACAGGAGAGCTCCGATGAAGAGTCGGGCACAGACGAGGAAGAGGATGACACGAGCGACACCAACACGGACACGGAAGACGAGAGTTGAAAGCCCTCCCTGGCGCGGATGAATTCGTCAAGGAGCATTTGTTTTATTAGACTGAAAGGGAAAATCAACAAAGCCAAGTATTTCTGGCGACCTTGCAAAAAAGAAGAAAAAAAAAAAGGAGAAAATCTGGCTCAAGGCACCACGTACGTGCATGGTGAAGCGCAAGCTGATTTTGCATTCTGAGCCACCCCAGGTATACTCGGGAGGCTACACAAGGGTAACCGGCTCTGGAGGCCGTAATCTGCCGGCATGGAGTTTTGTCTTTTCTGTTTTCAGCGGCTTATGGGATTTGGGCTGTGTTGGGTCGTGAGTCTTGTTCTTTGTATTACATAGTCCTTTTTTTGTTTTGTTGTTTTGGTAACGTAGATTCATAGTAGTAGTATTGAAGCTACACATTGGGATTGACAGGGAGGGGATGAAACTACATGTTTTCTTTTCAAGCAACGCTGCTCTAATGGGTCAAAAGTTGAGGTTTTGAAGTTGACGCTTTCCAGTATGAAAAGTTGAGGTTTACATGTGATTTATTCCGGTATGAAAAGTTGATACTACTTGTGTGTGTTGAGGTTTGTGTCTGTCTGTGTGTGAACACTTGGTCTGTACTACATCTATGTACTACCTACGTTATGCATTCTCGCATCATTATGGTCGCAAACAGGAAGTAAAGAAAAGAAAAAAGAAAAGAAAAACAGCAGAACAAATAAACTCTTTTCATCATCCCGTTTCGTTGCATCGTTTGCATAATCATCAAAAACAGAAAGCCCTCGTCCCATTCCCATCTCCGCCAAACGGAGACGTGGGGAGCTCAGAAGAAAGTTAAAAAGCCAAGAAAAGGAAGAAGAGCAAAGAAAACGTGGCCGAGCTCTCAACTCTAACATACCCGCACGCCACAGACCTCGACGCCCTTGCCCTCAATGACGGCCCGTCTCCCGAAATACACGGCCGCGAGCTCCTGCACGAAGAGGGCGTCGCTGGCGCTCCAGACGTCGAGGCCCATTTCCTCAATGGACCGACTGTCTATCGTGATGACGGGGAGGTCATCGGATTCGTTGCTGGTGCCGTTAGGGATGAGCTCTTGGTTCTCATCGTCGTCGTCGTTGTTGTCTTCTTCGTCGTCGTTGGGGTCGTCGTCGTCGTCGTCGCGGTATGGTTCGTCTGCGGCGTCGACAATGTCAATCATGACGGAGAGCATTTGCGTGGTGAGGCGGTGGAAGTAGGTGATGATGGCCAGCTCAATGTTGGCCTCGCCGTCGACGCCTGCGCGCCGGCCGGCGAGCGAGGCGAGCGAGTTGCTGAGGGGCTCTCCTAGGGGGGGTGATGAAGGGGCAGCCGACGGGAATGACATGGAGGCGACGCGGGGACTGGTGGGCGACAACAGGTCGGCGAGGAGAGCGGCATCGCGAGTCGATTCTTCCTGCTCTTCGGAGCGGATCTGCTCGCCCGCGCTGGCCCACCACATGAAGCCGTTGTAGGCAAAGGCAGCCCAGGTGACGGGCTCGACCAGGTTGTCGGCGCCGCCATACGGTTCGTCTTTGACGACGCGCGCGGAATGGCTGGTCGACAGCCTGACTTGTGACGTTTCGGATGCGGGAGACGGAGGGCCGTGATGGCCTGGAGTGGCGGGCGCGAGTGCGGCAAGGCGCGCGAGGCCCGTCCGCAGGGCGTTGAAGCGACGAAGATCACGCTGAGTAGCTTTGACGACTTTGCCTCCGGCATACTCGACCGTCGGCCAGGCCTTTTCGCTGGCATTTGCCGAGTGGTCTGGCGGCATCGTGATGAGCATGTCCCAGAGGGTGTCCTTGGTGGCGAGGATGCTGTCCGTGGTGCAGGCAATCCAGCCAGAGCCCGATTCGTCGGCATCGTCTACAGCACTGTCATCGCTGCGGGCTCGCTTGGAGGCCTTGAGGTCGTCCATGAGAAAGGATATGTCATGCACGCCAATGTTGAATAGGGGTCGGAGACGCTGAGGTGGAGAGGGCGTGGGCAGCGCGTCTGCAATGGAGTGGGGGATGTTGGATAAGATGGAGATGTCATATACTTTGGGGGTCAGTCCGTCAGCCTGTCTGTCATGAGTGTTCTTGTGCATCTCAGGGTTACATACCAAAGTTGCAGATCTCATGTACCGGCGCGTGACAGGAGATCAAGATGCGCTGTCGAAGCAAGGCGGCCCGGTGGATGGGGAAGATCAGGGGGCCGAATCTGTCCAGCAGCTCGGCCAAGCTCCAGGCGGGATGGTAGGGCGATAGCTTGTGCTCGGGCTGAAACAGAGAGACGCCGTCGGTGAGGGATGAGTTTCTGCCATGCGTCTTGCGGAACTGGTCGGGGACTGGGGAGAGGGGCGTGTTGACGGTCGAAAAGGTCTCTCCTTCTTTTGCCTTGTTGGCGTCCCAGTACTTGTCCAGGATCTCGGTCTGGTTGCGATCCTTGGCGAGGGTTCTTTTTTTACAACGGCGAGGTGTCAGTACAGACCTTGCGGCGTGGAATGGAGACAAAGGTCTAACTTACGCCGCCATCTGCTTCAGGTTCTCAGCATGTCTCCATGCGCGCCCCAGCCGTCCATAGCTGAGAGGAACGAGGATGCCGACGGCAATCATGCGCGCATGGCGGGCCTCCTCCTCTTCGCATGGCTCGTTGACGAATGCGCTCAGGCCGGCATGGGAGCCCTCGTGGACAAAGTAGATGAGGTCGTCAGACACGGTATGCAGGCCCGACGGCAGCGACTTGTACTCGACGACGCCCTCCAGCTCGAGCCCCGGCGCAGCCCGCTTCCAGGCAATCGTGTAGCCGGCCTTGACATCGAAGTCGATGAGGAACAGGGCGGCAATGGGCGGGAGATCGACGAGGGCGGCGGTAGGGGGAGGAGGGACGGAGAGGGAGGAGGGATGGGCTCGACGAGCTGGAGCCATGGCGGGTTCTGGATATGGCTTGTCGGATGGATCAATGGCTCAGAGCATGATATGGATTGGACCGAGTTCGAGCAACGGAGCTCATGCGAGAGGCTGGAGATGGCGGATGGAGCAGAGAGATGCGTCGGCAGGCAATCGATAGCTCATGCAATGCGGCAGAACGGAGCACGTATGTATGTACATATGAAGTACGACCGACGTAGGAGCAGACGTGCAGCACGGCGGTACTGCTATCGAAGCAAAAAGTGGACTGATGGAGAGAGACGAGAGAAACAACGGTCTTGACGCCCAAGAGCCCGGGGGGCAATCGACCAGAAGCAGCGGGTTAGGCAGAGCAGCAGTTGAGAGAGGCCGCGATTCGCGCGAGCTGCCGGTGCCGAGAGAGACGATTGCAGTTCAGAAGCCGAGCGTCGCCATGCTGCGGGTTGACCTGTCTGGGCATTACTGTAGATGGACAAGAACTGACAGGGGATGCAGCTTGAGCCGAGGGTGGACCAAGCAGGCAGTCCATCGGCCGGGCTGCTCCGGGTTAGGTAGGAAGAAGAAGCTATCGAGATCACGTGATGAGAGTGGCCGCTGCCGCCTTGCTGTAAGATGCTGCAGCCAAGGAGGAATAAGAGGTTGACTGTCGCATATGAGGCTTGAGATTATTGCACAAGTACATAGCAAAGTAATAATCGCCATCAACTGCCTCGAACATCCCATGTCCATGACACGGAAATCGTGCCTCATCCCGCCAAAACCACACAACCTCAACTCTCCCCCACGCGTCCAGTCCTCGCCCATTTCCAGCCAATCACATCCCCCCAACCCAACCCAACCCAACCACCGCCCCTCCAAACTGCCTCCCCCCAACGTCATTGGCCCAAAAAATCCCACCTCCCATCCCACGCCCACCTCCTCGGTTCACGAGTACCTGCCGCCGCCGCCCAGCGACGCCTCATGCTGCAGGTAGCTGATACCAACTTGGACTTGAAGAACCAAAGCCATTTTCTCCAACAGAAAATTTAACTCTTTATTCCTTTTTGTCTTTTTAGTTCCCGTGCCGTCAAAACGTGGGACTTTGCGCTTGTGATTCCCTCGGTCCAAGTAGTACTTCGTCCGCCTGGTCACGCTTCTACGTTCGCCGGCTTTCTCTACGCTTCTTCTTCTTCCTCTTCCTCTTCTTCTTCTTCAACTGTCTCCAACAGCAAAGGGAGAACAACAGCTCGGCTTCACAACGCAAGAGCATGGAACTGTAGCAGGACCAGCCCTCGACCCTCTTTTTCCTACCTCGTCATCAGTTACTACCCTCTCTTTCAACTACCTACCCGCCTCTCGACCAGTCCTCGCCCGAGCCTCCTCCTCTGAAGCCATCGTCTCCCAGCAGCAGCAGCAGCAGCAGCAGCAGCCTCGCAGTATAATCATCTCAGAGAAAACCAACCATGGTCCTCTTCCTCGGCGCCATCGCCAAGTTCCTCGCCGGCTACGTCGCCCTCACAGCCCTCTTCTACATGCTCTCCCTCGCCGCCGTCCCCAAGGCGGCCTTCGCGGCCCGCTCCCTCGCCTCCTACCTGACGCTCGTCGCCTGCGCCCTCTACGGCGTCGTCGCCTCCATCGTCCTCACCCTCGTCGGCCGCCAGCAGATCGCCCAGTGGGCCGTCGCCCGCGCCTTCCACTACGCCATGCGCCTGACCACGGGCGTCGAGTTCGTCGTCGACGACCCGGACGACGTCCTCGGCTCGACCCGCCCCGCCGTCTTCATCGGCAACCACCAGACGGAGCTCGACGTCCTCATGCTGGGCGCCATCTTCCCCAAGTACTGCAGCGTCACGGCCAAGGCCCAGCTCAAGCGCGTGCCCTTCCTGGGCTGGTTCATGAGCCTGAGCGGCACCATCTTCATCGACCGCAAGAACAGCAGGGACGCGCGCTCCGCCATGGACGGCGCCGCCGCCGAGATCAAGACGAAGCGCCAGAGCGTCTACATCTTCCCCGAGGGCACCCGCAGCTACGCCAAGGAGCCCACGCTGCTGCCCTTCAAGAAGGGCGCCTTCCACCTCGCCGTGCAGTCCGGCGTCCCTATTGTGCCCGTCGTCGTGGCCAACTACAGCCATATCCTGTACATCAGGGGCATGGTCTTTAACGCGGGCAAGATTCCCGTCAAGGGTATGTTTCCCGTTTGCGAACCCCCCCTCCTCCTCCTACTCCTCTTGTTCCCACATGGTGAGAAAAGAATTGATCAAAAGTGAACTAACGCCACAATGCTTCTTTTTTCTTTTCAGTCTTGCCCCCCATCCAAACCAAAAACCTCACCTCCGCCGACGTCGACGAACTCACCCAGTCCACCCGCGACCTCATGCTCAAGGAACTCATCAGCCTCACGGAAAAAGCCCGCGGACAACCAATCGCCGTTCCTGCGTCTCTCAACGGTAATGCGACGGCGAGGAGCACTGCTGTTGATGCTAGCAAGTAGACGACGGTCATTGAAGGCTGCCTAGATCATGAAAGCGTTTAATATAGCTTGATAGAAAGAATGACGCCCGATGCTAAATGAGGGCCTAGACAAAAAAAAAAGAAGCAAAACTACATTCTGTATGAGCGAAAAGAAAGGAGGAATAAGAGATACTAGGAAGAGAGGGGGGGCAAGGATGGGGTTACGGCGGGCATGGAATGGGACGCATATTACCCTTTAGAATAGAATATGGCACGACTGCTGGGACGGGGAGCAAACCTTCACATGAGACGAAAAAAAAAAACCAGGAAAGACAAGGCAAAAGACGTAAAACGTAAAGGCAAAAGAGGAAGAGGAGGAGGAGGACGAAAGATAAAAAGAGGACGGACGTTTTTGGTCTGAACAACACAACGCGCAAAGTCAATCTCGAATTGATACCCCCATTGGAAAACGCCACAAGCAACCGACACACAGAGCAAGCAACCTACCTACATTATATGCTTCCTAGCATAGCACGAAGTAGTCTTTTCATTGGTATTGTTTCGTATCATCTTTCTTTCCAATTCCTATCAAACACACATAAGGAAATAATGTATAAGTCTAAAAACGCTCTACATGCGCTTTGATCCCCGTACGCCTCTCTTTTTGGAAACAACGAAAAGCTGCCAAAACACCGGATGCCGCCGACTCTTCTTTTGACTTTTTATTTGGCCCGCCCCCCTTTTTTTTTCCACGCGTTACCAGGAAAGCCATTCCCTCATAAGCAGCCAAAGCTCATATACACAAGCCAACAAATGCCATACGACAGCCTATACACTACAATGTAAACAAGAGCAAGAAATGCAACACATCTACCTACTCCTTCAAAGCCAAGATGGCCTGGGTAAGAGGCACAACCCTCAGGCTGCGCCCTCGCCGCAAACCCGGCTCCGTTGAAGGAGTCTGGAGCAGCGTCGGGCACCGCTCGTCCGTCCACTTCCGGAACACTCGCTTCATGTCTCGGGGCACGCCCTCGAGGACAACCGTCGAGATGGGGATGAAGGGGCGATCCTCCATGCTGGCCGCCAGGACAGCGTACTCCTGGGCAAAGTCGAGGGCGGTGCGGAAGGAGGCATACTGGGACTGGGCCTGGGAGCCGACGATGATGTACATCTCGAAGAAGGCGTCGAGGATGTAGATGTTGAACGTGGACATGTCGGCCTGGTTGAATGGGCTAATCTCATAGATCTAACAACTGGTCAGTAAAATAGTGCAAATACGATCGATAGCCACAAAGCTGCTGCTCACCTGCTGCCTAGACTCTACGTCGGAGCAAAAGAGTCTGCTGCTGTATTTCCCATAGCTAGGCTTCAGTCTCCAGTGATCCGCCGAGTGAGGCTTCGACTCGCCATCAAACATGGCCCAGAAGGACGCAGGCTCGCTGCCCTCATCGTATTCAATAAGTTGCCCAGTCGCCGTCAAGTCCATACCAATGAGGCGTGCGCAGCCGAGCTCGTCCACGTCGCTGCCCTTGCCCTTCCACAGATAGCAGTTGCCGGAGTGGGTGATCAGATAGGCAAAGCCGGAACAGAGGCTGGCCGTCGTAAAGTCAACCTCGTCAAACGCCACCTGGCCATTATACCGTCGGCCGCACAGCATGGACGGCGCAGCCGAGTCGAACTTGTTGCTCGAGCCTCTCCGGACAATCACCACGCCGCCAAGCGCCTGCAGGAACTCGGGCGTCTCCTTGCCCTGCCTGATTTTGATCAGCTTGCCGCCCAGCTGCTTTGCCTCTTGCTGGGCCACGGCCTCCGCAACGTCCTCCTCGTCAACCGGGACTTCGTCGCCAATCCAAAAGTAGACCTCGCGCACCTTCCATCCCGCGTCGTTGGTGAAGTTGTGCCCGGCAACGTACATCTCTTCTTCAAAGAGGATCCGCTCGCGGTAAGCGGGCACAATCATCTGCTTGCCATCTCCATCGATCTGGAACATGTGGAACGACAGCGTCTTGCCCTTGGCGCCAGACTTGGGGTAGTTTGTCAGGATGTCGGCGGGATCGATGTTGCACTGCACCTTCTCGTAGGGGGGGCCAAAGAAGTCGTGGAGTATGGCCGATACATCGCTGCCGTGGCTTGTTTGCGGGCGCGTAGGCGATGCCATTGGTGGCTCAGCCTGCGCCCTGGGCAGCGATGGGGACAAGGCCGCCACAGGTGGTAGCGACACCGGAGGTGTGGTAACCTCCTTCGGTGGCCCATTGAAGGAGGACGGCTTGGGTCCAGGCACTGGGGCCTTGACGGCAGTCGAAACAGGCTCACGAGCAGCGTCGATGGTTGAGGCCTTTGGCTCGCTGAGCGAGTTGATGGCAGAGGGCCGCTGATCGGGCAGCGAACGCTCGACTTGCTTCGGCTGAGACCACGGGCCGGTCTTTTGTTGCGTCAACTTCGCTGGACCGGTCTTCTGCTGGGTAAGCTTGGCCGGCTCCTTGACAGGCTCGGGAGCTCCAGCCTTGACCGGCGACCAAGTGCCAGTCTTCTGGGGCGAAAGCTTGCCGGGCGTCTTGGGGGTCTCTGCCGCCGCCGTCGTGTTCTTTCCTTGCTCGAAGATCTGAGACACGCGCTTCAGGTCGAGCTTCTTCGGCGCCTCCGGCTCCGGCTTCTGTGGTGCCTGTGATTGGAAGATCTTGTTGATCGGAATCTGAGTCTCAGTTTGTCGTCTGCGAAGATTCAAGGGGCGTACAGGCTCCACGGGTCGACTCTCCAGCTCCATCTTTCTCGCCTCGACAGGCTTAAGCTTAATAGGCACATCGGGCTTTGCGGTCTGAGGTAGTGGAAATGCAGGCTTCTTCTCTTCAATGGGCGCAGAGAAGCTCTGCTTCCTAAAGGGGGCCGGTTGTCGGCTTGCTGCAGACGACTCTGCCGGCGCAGCTGCGGAACTGGCGGCAGAGTTGCCTACGTTGGACGGGGCCTTTCTCCTCGGGCCACGCGCTCGACTCTTAGTCATGTGTGTCAGCTGAGGGCCTGGCTGCGCAGGTTGGACATCACCATCGCCTTGTCCAGATCCTTCAGCTCGGTTTCCACTGCCGGAAGATGCTGGCGGTGGTCCTCGTGCCAGCATCCCGGCAAGGGCAGGGTTGAATCGATCGGCCAGACCGCCGAGTTTTCCAGGAGCGCTCTTCTTCTTCAACAGGCTGGGCAGAGAGGGCAGTGATGTTTCGGTCCGGGCGGGCGTATCGGGTTCCGCATTCTCTAGGCTGGTCTTCTCAGTCAAGGGGCTCTCGGCGGGAGTCACGGATGGGCTGGACTGTCTGGCCAAGTTCACTTGACTTGACTTTCTCTGTGGAGGACTTGGTCTTGACGACTCGGGCTTATTCGACTGACCGGATGGAGTGCGACTCTCTCGGGGTGCATCTTGCTGGGGCACCGCCGCTGACTTGCCCAGCTCGGCCCTCACGGCGAGTGCTTCGGGGAGGGGAGCCTTGGGCTTGTCAATGCGCGTCGAGGCAGCGACTCCTAAACCCTCGATCTGGGACTTTCTGAAATCGTCTCTCTTCTTTTGGATGGCGTCCTTGAATTCGTCCCTAATTACCGACTTCTGTGGCCCGTCAGTCGTGTTAAGAGAAGCCTTGCCGCGGAGGATATTGTCCTTTAGCTCGTCCGGTGCTTTGAAGTTCTGGGTTTTGGTCCTGCGAAGAGTGCCAAAGACGCTCTTGAATTCGGGCTCCTGGGTCTTGGAGACCGGTGCTTCGGCAGCCCGCGGCTTCAGGTTTCCGCGGAAGTCTAGGTCCTTCTTTGGTGGAGCATCGGGCTTGACCTTGGCGGCCAGCGGGTTGATAGTAGAGCTCAGGGATTCGGCTCGCCTCTCTCTCACTTGATCGAGAGCGCCTCTTGACTTTGACCTGGGCCTCTCCGGCCCCGGAGAGAACGTGCTCGCTGTTGAAAAGCTCTGAACCGACGAGCGAGCAGTTACCGAGTGTGTTCCAGGGGGTGAGTAGATTCCGCCCAACCCAGTAGTGTTGAGGTTCAGTCTCGAGCCCATTGGCGTGGACCTCATAAGCCCATCGATACTAACTTGGTGCTTGTGAGAGGGGCCCGCGGGTTTGCTTGGCTCTGGAGTGGGATTGCCTGCACGCCCTGCCTTGTTCTTGCTAAGCTCGACCATCCAAGCGGGCTGCTGTGAGGACGCCGGCTTCGGGGGGACCTTGGGCGAGTCTGGTTTGTTCAGAGCGCTCTCGAGCCAGCTTGATTTGGTCGGACTCCAGCGTCGGGGCTCCATCGTCTTGGACGGGGACATCGGAAGAGCTGCATCATCAAGCTCCTGCCTCTCTTGTTTCTGAGGTTGAGGAGGACTCATCGATGTCGGTGTCTTGGGACGCTTTTCTCCGTCCTTTTCTCCGTGCCGGGAAGTTGGCCGGGAAGATGGTCGCGAAGCCGGCCTGCTTGTCCCCGGCGTTGCTGTCATTGTCGTCGGCGGGTCCCGGATGAACATGCTTTGCGGCCTTGACGGCACGCCCCTGTCGATCGAGCCACGGTGGGTGGCCACGTTATCAGGGCGAGTCAGTCCGGGCGGGCTGGCAACAGACCAGCGCTTCACGCTGTCGCTCCTCTTCATCATGGCGCTCTGCACAAATCCGCCCATCCCTTTGGTCGGAGAGGTTGTGCGCAGGGGAGACGTCCGACCAGTCGCCGTGGGGGCAATCGATTCCGCCTCACGCTTTTCCGAGGTGGGATTGTCGAAGCTGGGGGGATTCAGCGTGAACGGGGTTGCAAGCTTGCTCAAGGCGCTCTCGCCGGACCGCGAGGTAGGGCGCTCTGCGGAACTGTCGGCCATGCCAGGCAGCTGGGCGCTGAGAGACGACATGTCCAGCCGATCGTCGTCCTCGACCTGGTTCCGGCGGTACGCTGCGGCAGAGTCTGCGCCTCGGTCGGCGGTTTGGCGGAACCACGACGCATCCTTGGACCCGAGGCTCTGGGCAATCTGATCCCTGGATAGAGGCTGCGTAGGGGATGGAGGCTCCTCCTGGCCCTCGACACCCGACCTGTGCGTGGCGCTCTGAGCTGCGTTCTGAGCGGCGACGATGCTCAGCGGACGGCTGTTTGACCGGGTCGTCCGGCGCTGCCATGCGAGAGGTGAAGCTCTGGAGGTAGCTGAGGCATCATCGCCCCGCTTCGCGTCGTGATCCTCAGGGGCCTCGTTCTCCTTCATCGTTGAGGTGGAGTATGACATGGCACCGGCCTGTGCATCCGTCTCCAGGGGCTTCTCCGAGTCGGTCGGTCGCTCACGCAACTTATCCAAGTACTCGCCGGCGGTTGAATCGAGCCTGAGCGTGTCGGAGAGGTTGACGGTTCGCCGGTTCAGGCGCGGAGACGGCGTGTTGGCAGGCGATGATTTCTGCGGTGAGATGGATCGGGCGCGTTCTTTTGAGATAGGGCGGGTCAGCGTCGTTTCAGCAGTGAAGCAGGTCCCCGAGATTTATCTAGGAGGATGCTCGCTGCGTAGGGCCGGCCTCTGTAGCAGCACAGACGGGCACACATATAGGGGGAATGGATGAGAGCCGCAAGAAAGCAAAAAGTGGAAAAGTAAATAAACGATGCCTGAGAGGCTTTGCCAAACGAACACCATGGCAACAAAGCCAACCTGAGAGCTTCACACCACACCACAACCACGCCAAGCGGGTAGCTGCCTGGCAACAAGGTGCTACCACTCTCAGACGCCCGTTTCCTCTCTCCTCTCGGTTGGGGTTCGTGACAAGCGCAACAGCAAGGAATCAAGGCGACTCACCCTCTCTCCTAGCCTGGCGCTCTCGCTTGGCGGCGAGAAACTCCTCGCGCTCCCGGGCTCGCATCTCGTCGTCCTCAATCTGCTGCCCGCGCAGGCGCTCGACCTGCTCGAGGAACTGGGATACTTCGTCCGACATGGTGGGCGTTTTCTGGTCGACTTGTCTACCGTTGCGTGTGGACGGCTGCTGACAATGGCATGGCACGGCGGAGGAAAGGAGGGCTCGAGGATCGAGGGTTCCGGAGGGAGCTGGCTGATGTTTATGTCGCTTTCAGGCGGTGGGTGTCTCGCCTGTGGTTATGTTGTGTCCGTCGCCTCGCTGTGTCCAAGGAACTAGAGAAACTGGAATCATATGGGATTGGATCAGAATCCAGCTCTAGTGGCCTCTTGGTAGCAATGGAACCTGGAAGCAAGTTCGTGACGACTGGCGGCATCAATCGGGGGCCACCAGCTGCTAAGAGGCACCGGCACCCGCTAATCCGCTGGCCGCCCTTTTCACTCTAGCGCGTTGCTGTGGGCTTGCGGCCCGCCAAATCGGGGCTTGTTCAGGGCGGTCTTGGGGGGGGACCGTCGCGCTGATCCACCGCTGAGGCGCCCCCTGTAGGCCGGGCCAGGAGAAACGGAAGCGCAATGGAACAGCGGCTGGAGCAGATTGATGAGTGCGCTGCGCTGTGCTGTGCTGCAAGGGGGAGGCTTCCAAGGTTGTTCTCTCAGGTCGGCATCTGCACATCTGAGCAATACGGGCAGCGCAGGACAAGCAGACAAGCATCTCCTTTATTTGGCGAAATCGCACACTCGCACACGCCAGACGCATCATCCCGGCCTCTCCTGAACAGCGGGCATCATGCTCATGCAACGCTCGGTCTGTGCCAGGTTCTACCATGTTCTCTCCCACGATAGTCTCCAGCGAAGGGGGGGCTCTGCCTTTGCTTTGTTTACTTTCGCCCCAGTAAACAGTAAACACACGCAAAGCCAAACACGAGATGGCTAGTGCTCAGCTCGTCAACATAGGTACCGAAAACTCTCTTGAGAGGCTCCTAGTGACATCTTCATGTTCTTCTTATTCCATTTAGCGTTTCAACCGTGTCTGTCTTGGTAGGTACTGAATCTGATCCAGGCCTCAGGTTCGGCCGACCAATCAAGCCTCGAAGATGCCAGTCAGGCCAGCTGCGCCGATGAGCCTATCCACAGTTTCCACACCCATCCCATCGCCCTTGACAACTGGTCCACACGAGGATTATCGCCGTCTTTGACCGTCAACCGGTGCTATATGTATACATTATGTGTGTGCCTGTGTGGAATCTGCGCCAGCTCCGTGGTCCCGTATCACCGATCGCCGACCGTGGAGTCAGGTCAAAGACGGTGGCACATGGTGGCACAGCATGGCAGCAGATGCTTGTCCTCCGTGACACAGTCGAATCTGTACGTAAAATGCGATATTCGACAGAGTACGAGTGGATAGTACTAGTAGCAAGTACTCCGTAATGCCATGTGAATGAATCTCCCTAGTACAGAAACAGCCGCTTCTTCGCGTCTTCCACCACCCAAGACAGGCCCTCCTTGAGATTCTTGCCCGTCATGGCACTGCACGGCAGCACATGCCACTGATGTGTCCGTATATCATTCAACCGCAACAACTATCCAACCACAGCATCATTAGCCAACTCACGAGTCCCATCATCTCGACCACAATAAAACTTGGAAACAGGAAAAATTCCTCACCGTAACAATCTCTTCTTCCGTCATGCACCCATCCACATCCGTCTTGTTGGCGAATATCAGCAGGCAGGCTCCCGCAAGACGCTACCCTACACGTCAGCCCTCACCGATCCCAAAACTGCAAAGCAAATGCTGACGGCGACGAACCTCTTCTTCCAAAAGCCCGTGGAGCTCTTCCCTGCAGTCGTCGATGCGTAGCCGGTCTGTTGTGTCGACGACCCATATCAGGGCGTCTGTCTTTTCAAAGTAATTCCGCCAGTATGACCGCAGCGTCTTCTGGCCTCCCACATCCCCTAAGAGGCAGAGATTAGCAATGATCGTGCCTGCGGAGCATCAGGCTGCCGTACAAATATTTAGTTTGTATCTGTCGTCGTATCTGTTAGCTTTGCATAATGTGTGAATCGGTGGAGGGGACTCACCCTTCGTAATCGATGGTCTTGATGATGAAGCCTAGCGTTGGGCTGACAGTGTTCACGTCCTCACCCATAACCTGTTTGACTATAGTCGTCTTCCCGGCATTATCAAGTCCTCTTGCAGTGGGTTAGCATTGTTAAATCCAGTCTTCAATGACCCGTTTGGTACGCACAGCATCAATATCCGCATCTCTTTGTCCTTGAGACGTGCTTTGCGCAAGATGGACAACATGATGCCCGAGGATTGTCGATCGTGGTTTTGGTTCTCTGTTTCGCGCAACGGGCTTATTCAAACAAGGAATTGCTCTCCTTGTGCTGCTTCAAACTGAGCAGCTGCGTATTTAACGATAGAATCTCACGTCCAGGCAACAAGGTTTGAAGATATCGCGAATTCAAGTTATCTGTCTGCCTGATAGGTAGCTACGAAACCATCTGGTGCTGCCAGAAGCACAGTGTACACACGTGATGCAGAGCGCATTCCCCATAGTTTTTTCTACGTCCTTTTCCTTTCCCTTTTCATCAACCAACGAATTCACAAGATTCGCGTACAAATGCATGGATTCAACTGCGCAATCTTCTCTTTGAATTTCCCTTTAATAGCGAATTATGGCTATGGCGGAGTCAGTAAGAGAAATATCACTAGTGATGATTGAGCGTAGACAAACCTGGGAGATCATACGAAAGACGAAATAGGTCGTCTCCAACTCCATCCGACTTCATCACAAACCGCTGTCTCGCCCCTAAATCACAGGTTCTGGGAGCCAGGCAAGAGGTCCGCAATGTTGGAGCGCGGCTGAGCTTCGCGTGCCCACAGCACTAGGTCAAGCCATTGGCTCTCATAATATCGATCTGTCTTGACAGCGCAGCGCATGTAGCACGTCTCCTGGAACTCAAACTTCTCGAGGAACTTGGTCGCCTGTTTGAGTGTAGGGTCATCTCTGCCGTCGCAGAATGTCTCGACATAGACCCAGGCGTATTTGCGGCGATTGAAAAAAGGGTTCTCTTCATATACGCTGGAAGGATTCTGGCACTGCCAGTCGTAATCTAGGACTCTCCGGTGGAACGGCGCAGTGCAAACGAGAATCCTGTCAAGCAAGGCAGAGCCATACAGCTTGCCTCGGTGGTCAGGATGGACAATGACTTTCACTTGACCAGTGTGTCTCGATCCTGGGCATGAACCTCCCAACATGCCGACTCTGGCTTCCATCACGTAGGCGAAGCCCAAAACCTCTTGCGTCACCTTTGCTTGAGTCGAACGGAAGGCGAGGTAGCTTTGATATGCCTTTGTGGCATTGTCAGGCCAGTTAGAACGGTCGAGTAAGGCGTCGTCTGCAGTTGTAGCGACGACAAAAGGCTGCAGGTTATCTCGGCAGCTGTCGTATATCTTTTGGACATCGGCAGTTGTGACCTCCTTCCATTCCAAAACCTGCGGGATGCCCTTCGTCTTGCTTTCCATGTTGATGATGGCCGCTATGGCCGCGAAATCCTGGGGCGTAGCAGGTCGCACAACACACTCGGCATTGGGAGGAGCCACTCGTTCGACGGCTACAGGCTCATGTTGGGGTTTGATTTGTGACTTGAGCTTCATTGCGAGCAACTCTCGGCTTCTGATCTCTCTGTTGATTTGCAATTCTGCTGTCATGTTGGCCTGCCGCCAAGCGATGTCTCTATGATCGCGAGACGGGCCTTCGTGGAGAGTCTTGAGAGTGTCGGGATATACGATTTCGGGCAGGAAGTAACCGGTCTCGGTATCTATATCCCTTTTGTAATGATGGATGCCACCCAATGATGCCAATGAGTGAACGAGAGCAGGCGGCTCAGAGGTCAACTGCAGCCAGAGCAAGGTTCGCGACACCCGGATTCCGTCTGATACCGTATATTGCTGCGGCTTATCCTGGTTACCACCATCAGAGAGGCCATCGCTGATGTTCCACGAGGCTCTGCTTCGCTGCGACTGTTCTTCAATGTCAACGAAGCCATCCGTCCTCTGTGCTGAGTCGACTGGCATGTCCTCGAGCATGTTCATCAACTCTCTGGCCTGAGTTTCCGGCTCAAGGCCTGGGTCGGGGTCCTCTGAAATCTTTGCTCCTCCCTTAGAAGAGTTGAAGGCTTGGTCTTGGTCTTGGTGACTCGTTTCCGATATGCCAGTAGCACTTGGGTGCGTGGTGGGATTCTCGGTGATGCGCACGGAGGCGTCGGTAGAGTTCTTGGTCTGAACCGAGCTTAGATGTTCAGTGATCACCGCAACGCTATCTTGGATGGCGACATGCTTCGAGAGAGTAGAAGACTCAGGAGCCTTGGGGGAGTCAGGGCTCTTGGGTGTCGCCGGCGTCTGTGGCGCCATGGGGCTCGTGGGATCGCGGTTGAGCCACTGTTTGAGGGCAGTGAATTTCCGGATGACTTTCCCATCTTCAACTGGGGCGGGGCCAGCCCTTTCGGACTTTGGAGTCAAGTCCATTTCCCTGCTGAAGTGTCTCGTCAGTAACCTGTTGATGAGTTTCGGAGTGAATAGAGTGCTGTGATACCTTTTGTTGTGCGGCAATAGCACCCTGGGATGCAGGAGAGTGATGCAGGAGCGAGCAACTGTCGAAGATGCTGATGAAGCTCTATTGTGCGTGAAGAAGATGAAAGAAGAGGTCAACGTTTTTGCAGGTGCGAAGAATTGTGTGAAGAGCTGTGCGAAGCAAGTGCAGGAGGGTGCTTGCCAGTTGACAGCCCGAGTTATGAGGAGCAGAGCAACTCACGTGCCCTGACAGCTGCGGGCAGTTTGAGGCTTCGGCAGACATCTGGAGAAGGCCTGAATTCATTTATTGTGTTCTTCTTATTTAACTGACTGCCTTTATTGTCTTTGCTATTGTGAGCCCCTGAATGAGTATACGGACATGGAAATGAGGTACTGCTCTGTACTTGGTATTTCTTCAGTCTGAACAGTATCAATATTGACAATCCCAAAGCAACTACGCACATAGGGGAGCATGTGACTGCCATTAATTTGGTTTAAGTAAAGTACTAGGTGACTTCTATCTCCCAAGACGAATCCATCTTCTCAATCGTCCTGCAAGATGGGCCTAACACCAAGGTCTGATTAGCCCTGCCAAGGGCGTTTCCATATCTTGATGCCAGCTTGTAACGAGTGGATCATAGAGAAACAGATCAAAGCTCTCCGTTATATTTCAAGTATTCGAGTATAACTGCAGCATCCAGGAATAGAGATGTCCACGGTAGCGTCACGATACTTTCGTTCGTTGTCTCTACAGTACACTCAGTGTTATGATACTGTATATGTCTGCCCAATTTGCGGGTCGATGACAGTGCGCGGTGCAGAACAGTCTTGCCAAGCCTTGATATAGCAAAACTGCGTCGATTCAAACATCAAATGGGCCGCGTGGCCTAATGGCTAAGGCGCTAGATTTCGGTTGAGCATCACCTCCTCTAGAGATTCCAGGTTCGACTCCTGGCGTGGTCGCTTGAAAACGTTCCGTTTCTTTTTTTGGTCCCTTCCAAGATGTTTTCGTAATGTGTATTCACCAATTCTCTTTCTTTTTGCCTCAAACTTCTCTTATGCGATGTGATATGTATTATAGAAATTGCCTTTTACAACAGGTCAGATTCGAGTCAGCCACGTGCAGAGACATTGGCCCCTTCTTATTTGCCATTGGCTGGCTGCCTTGCACAAGAGAGAGCATCAATGGGTTAACCAAGACAGGCACAGGCCGTCTATAACCAACGAGAGGATGGCTGTTCCTGAGTTACGCCCCCAGTATCCGCAGCCCTCCAGCGACTCAGTTTCTCCAAATGCCCGCAATGGCTTATCTGCTATTACTGTCCGACTGAGTCTGTCCCTCGCGTTTCTTTGTCCTCGATGTGTCAACCTAGTGGGGGGTTGGTCGCTGCCCGGGCCACTAAGCGCAAACCAAAACTCATGGCCAACGTAAGAGCCGAGATCGGGCTTCCGCGTATCAAAATTCCGTTGGCTGCGCTTATCGTCGTCTCGACACTCGGCACAAGAATTTGGTTCGAGTCACCTTGGCCAAAAGACGTCGTCGGCACCCCGCAGGCGGACGGAAAGCATTTGGAGAGTTGCATCTGAGGAGCTGTTTACTTCAGCAACCTCTGCTCTGGGACGAGGCGCCATACGCAGAGAAGGCCCAATTCCAGCTTGAGCTTCCTGCAGGGCTTCTACTCAAACCATGTCCGCCTCTCTGCCGGGTTCGCGAGACTTGCCGTCGTCGCAGTATGACTTGTCGACGTACTATGGCCGGGTGAGGCACACTATGAGCATCACGGATCCTAGGTGAGTCTCAACGCGAGTGGATCTTGATGGAATCGCCAAAGCAGAGTATGCTGACGAGAGTACTGCTTCCAGCACCCTGTTGGCTGGCTCGCGTGGCCTCGAAGAAGCCAAAAGACTGGTGACGGAGTATAAGACGGGGAAGCTGCAGCACATGACGCCGGAGCTATGGAAAGCAAAAAAGATTGTGGACTCGACTCTTCACCCAGGTATGGCGTACCTAGGAGCAGAATGCTGCGTTGAGTAGATAGATGGGAAACGGATAGGGCTGACTATGTGGAACAGACACCGGAGAACCAGTCTTTCTGCCTTTCCGAATGTCATGCTTCGTCCTTTCGAACCTAATTGTCACGGCCGGCATGCTGCAGCCCGGCCTTGGAACAGCAGGCACCGTCGCGTGGCAGATTGCCAACCAGTCGCTCAACGTCGCCATCAACAGCTCGAATGCAAACAAGTCCTCCCCGATGACGACCGAGACGCTTGCCAAATCGTACGGTATCGCCGTCACGGCTTCGTGCTCGGTGGCTTTGGGACTCAACGCATTGGTGCCGAGGTTGAAGGTGTCTCCCAGCACGAGGAACGTCCTGAGCAGACTGGTGCCGTTTGCCGCCGTGGCTACTGCCGGAGCTCTCAACGCATACCTGATGCGACGAGGAGAAATCGTGACGGGCATCGACGTCCGCCCCGTCCTCTCCGAGGAGGAGAAGAAGAAGCTGACCGAGGAGGGTAAATCCGAGGCCGACGTCCCCTCGCTGGGCCGGAGTCGCAAGGCGGCCAAGATTGCCGTCTACGAAACCGCTGCCAGCCGAGTCATCAACAACACCCCGATCATGATCATCCCGGCTATGACGCTCTATCACATCCAGTACAAGCAGGCGTGGTACAAGAACCTGATGGAGAAGGAGTGGCTCAAGGCCCGGCCGCGTCTCGCCCAGACCATCCCCATCGGCATCAACCTAGGCCTGATTGCGGCGGTCGGCTTCGTTGCTCTGCCTTTGGCACTGGCGGTATTCCCCCAGAAGCAGGAGATTAGCGCTGATAGCCTGGAGCCGGAGTTCCATGGCAAGGGCGGCAACGGGGGGAAAGTCTGGTTCAACCGCGGTCTGTAGGAAGAGAACGACATGGGACTTGTCCTTTCATGTCCTTCCTGGATCGTTAGCAATGGCCGGAATTAGCGAGATGGCAGCATTGCGTTTTCGATGGAATTCTTTCGAGCGTTTTACCGTTAGACCTGGGCTCGTCTGCTCCACGACCTGAGGCCCTGTTCGTGCATACCCGCACACACTACACTTGGCTGCCGATTAATACACACTAAGTCATAGACGAGATGGGCTTGTATGAGGAGCAGAGGAGCAAGGCTTGGGGCCCAGCCACCGGGTTGCGATGCGTGGCTTGTCGAGAACAGGAGTGTGGTCCTTGGTAGGCGGCGCAAGGCTGAGCGCGTGGCATCGATGCCCGGACATATACGGCCATGTTTATGCGAGATCCTTGCTTGTATTTATTTTGTTCGCTCTTATTAGACAAGAGAAGCAGGTAGATTAGAGAGAGAGAGTGAGAGACGAGCATATAATTCATAGCGAGCAGCTGAAATCGTTTCATGGGCGATTCAAAAGAAGCGTGAAGAGAGTCGATCAACCAGAACCCTTGATATCATATCCGCATACCATGAACCACTTCCCTGCATCCCACGTGTCCAGGGCAGATGGGAGCTCCCGAATCCGCATACTGAGACTGCATTGGAAGGATTATGTCAGTGTCCAGCGTACATTGTCTTTCTCCTCGAGGAATGATTCTTCTCCGGGGAGGTAGTAGATAGTTGCAAAAGATCCTGCTCAGCCGCGACTCTACTAGAAACTACAGCGGTTTGCTGACAATGCAGCTGCTTGTTCTCTCTGTTTAGCTAAAAAAAGGGGAATATTTGAACGGGGGGGGGGGGGGGGGGGGGGGGGAATCGGTGTGCAAATTCGTGGAGCGTGGTCAGTAGCAGGCTTTACTTTGTAAACGTAGATACGGGATCAACAACATGCAAGTGCTTGAATGAGTGAGCACATCTACACTCTGTAGGCATATTGGCAGGTTTAAATCGATCAAGCTCTTTTGACGTCCAACTGCCTTTCATGTCGTTCTGAGAACAATTAGAAACGCCGGGCTTTGACTGGAGAATATGATGCAATAGAGGCACGAAACAGTTTGCGGTTCCGTCAGCTCACGGTGGCCACATGATCAGCGTACATGTATCAAAGTGGACTTGCGAATAGATGAGTAACATTGCATGGACCGATAAGGAAATGCGTCCCAGCCGGCGCATTCACTTACTACAAGTGATGATACCGTCCACTGGCCGAAATGGAGCCCACAGAGACCTCTTCACTGATCGCGTAAGACGGTGCTTGAACATGGGCCGGGCAAACAAAAGGTGGAGAGCGTGAATACTCGTATGCAGGGCATTTCAAGTGCGTGACGCAACTTGCACATTGCCAGCACGTACTGTATGTACCTTATGTCTGTATGCGAGGACGGGAGAGAGAGTGAAGAAGACAACAGGAAGATTGTTGACCCCGTCCGTTTGACAAATCGAACCATGCTTTTGCTGGTGATGTGATTGAATGGTTGGAAAGGAGGGGCTGGTCTGGTTCACATGTGAAGTTGACTGGGCGCATCGGTGGCTGGTACGGGTCCATACTTTCAAGCTGTATCTACCTTACATGCGGGAGTGGAAGGCAGACAGAAGGCATGGGCTTCCGAGACGCCTGTTTGCGATGAATGGGCACCTGCTACTGAATACTTGTACATGGGAAAATTCAACGTGAGCCTGGCCGCTTTTCTCGTCTTCGTCTGGCAGAGCAGAGACGAGAGGAAGGAGAAGAAGCATTTATTCGCTCTTGTTGCATTCCGGATGGGAGGAATAAACGCTCCAACTTTGCCCATTTAGCCTCTTGCCCGCTATCCCATGGCTGACGAATAAGGGCGCCGCGGCTATGGGATTGCATGTCGAGAGAAAGCCTCAACTTGGCTCTCGCCCAGTTTCCGATGCTCTCGAGGGGAAACGAGAGCCGTGCCGAAGATGAGTTCGACGGTGACATAATGCGTGTGGGGACCAGCAGGTGAAATGGGGAGACAACGAGAGAAAAGCGGCAGGGCTTCTGATGGCGAGCTGAACGGGGACTTTGGGGGACCAACATACTCGTACATACGTGAAGTTGCAATCGGCATAGTACCTGTACTGTGCGGTATGGGGCTTTTGGGGCGCCGTTGATTCTTCTGGAGAATGCGGTTGACGCACAACTATGTAGAGTTTTGGGGTGGCGAAATCGAAAGCACGAACTACCAAGGTATCGGCCAGCCAAGAAACTTGTTTGTGTGTTGAGGAAAACGGGCACCAGTTGCCGGTTTGTAATACTAGATCGTACGGAGTGCGGATACTCGTCGACAGAATGATGGGGAAGCAGAAACGAGGGGCCTGCTGCTGGTGCTGCAGGGCAATTCGCAGTCTTAAACACGCAAAGACCGCGGACAGGGTCCTGTGATTAGTGGACTCGTCGGCTCGGCCACGCTGCAGGTGAGGATTAATGAGAAAATTGTCCTGGTGAGCCGCTCATCAATATCAAGAGCCACGCTCCGGCCTGCCGTTGGAGGAACTGGGAGATTCAAAGGGGAAAGGCGCGGGGACAGCGGTATGTATCTGCGTGACTTTGCTGGGCTATAATGCGCGTGCGGGACCCAGTGAGAGACGAGAGAGGCTTGTTGAGAAAAAAAGAGAGATTGAGGAGGAGGATCAATGGGCAGGTATGTACGGGTTTTGGCGTGTGACGTGCGAGAGAGACAGCACGAGGCGCGGCGCTATGAGGACGTCGGGGATAAGGGAGAGGAACTGCTGAGGGCTTGATTCGTCGTGAGGGAGGCCGTTTCTCTTGTTGTATTTTGTCCTTTTCCTGTGTGTCATGTCTGTGTCGCGCGGGCGAGTCAAGAGGATTATTAACATGGCGATGCGTGTCAGTGAATGAAACCCTCCAGACGGTGCACGAGGAGAAGAGAGAGACGAGGGCCTGCGGCAAGCGGAGATGACAGGATGGGCCGCGCTTATTATAGACTCGCGCTGTTGATTTTCTTCCTTCCTTTCTTTTTTGGTTGTTTCTTTTTGTGCAAGGGGGTTTGGTTATGACGATGAGGGACCCCATACAGACGAAGCACTTCGTACGCTGAACAGGATCCAATCTTTGTACGACGGAGATGGAAAGGGCAGTCCGGGGAGCTGTGGGCTGGGCTTCTTTTTGTCCCATCGACGGCTGCTTGCTGGGAGTCTTTTTTTTTTTTTTGCAAGCGTTTTCCACTACAGAGTCCTAGTACTGGCAGTTCTGAATGCGAGATAGAGGACTGGATAGAGAAATACGGAAAGGGGCAAAGGGCCCTTTTCATCGGCATCACGGTTGTCTGGCTCGAACGAATCGCTCGTGTTCGATCCAAGTACGAGCGTTAATATCATGCCGTGCCCATCACACGCTGCACAATCTGTCTGCAGGCCTTGACCCCGTCTGCAGTATTTCCCTCTCTCTCCGTCTCTACTGTACCTCGGACTCCACCCATCCTTGTCATTTTCCCTTCTCGTTTTGCCCCAACAGCCAGACTGATATCTAGTAGTAGTAATAAGTTCGACAGCAGCCGTGTTGGCCGCTCGGCGTAACTATTCGCAAGGAAAACATGGTCAGAGGTGAACGTTGCAGCCGTGTTCCCACTGCCTTCTGCTTTCGATCCTGCGCGCGCTTGGCTGAGCTGCTTTAGCATGGAGGGCTTGTAATGTACATGCAGCCTTAGCCACCTGTAGACCCTGCCGTCACTTCTAGCGGCCGGGTACGTGTAAGCCCTGGACGGGGTACCTAAAAATGGCTTGCATTTTCCATGGATGGGCAATTCATCAAATTGCTTGGATCTGATTCCGGCAGCTTGGGATTTCGTCGTGCCTTTGCCAGTCTTCTTGCCCGTGGTGGTTGGGGGGAACAGACGTGTTGTCTGGTGAGCCCTTCAAAGTCGAGATTCAAGACAAAATCCCGTCTCCATCAACACCCCCCTCCTGTCCCCATCTGCAGTCAACCTGTAGGATTTCAGACTTTCGCCTTGCGTCGTTTGCGTATCATCAAATGGCTTTGTGGCAAACGTTCGCCTCGACTTGTTCCGAGTCGTGGCTATTCTGCTACGGGGAACCCGCCCGCACCCCTTCAGCTTAGTGGAGGTGACCAGAAGCCACGGCCTAATCCGCAGGTGAGAACTGGCGGAGGCTCGGTAAAACGAGGTCGATACGCGCACATGTATCGCAGGTCGAGTCGTCGGGCCACTGTAAGGCATTTGACTGCAATTCCCGGCGACGGAAAAAACATCATTCAAATACCAGTGAATATCATGTTGCCCCTCAGCTTTGAAACGAAGAAAAAAACAGAACAAAGTGAGGGCTTCGTCGTGTTTCCCGCCATGTCCACCAAGTCCACCTCGGGGTCCCTCTCGCCTCCCCCTGCAGCCCAGGATCTCGCTGCGTGCAGCGCCATGAGTCCCCCGAATTAGCGCGCTGGTTTAGCGGCCTGGAGCCCTGGGGTCGGTGCTCCGCAGTGCGCAGGGCGGTGCTGCTTGCACCAACGGGCACGAAGCAGAGGTGGAAAACACAGTGGCGCTCGCCTGCTGCCGCACGGTGAGCCTCACGCACCCAGATTCTCACGCACTCGGCACCAGCGTCCTCTGGGCCAGTGTGAAGAAGCGACGGGAGTGAGTGAGTTGAGGCCGGTCCCTAAAACACGCCATCCACCGGCTCCCAGGGCTTCCATGCTTTGGCCGGAGCCTTTGGCCTCGAATCAGTCAATTCCAGCCCAATTCAATCCTCACTTCTTCCTCACACGCCAGATGTTCAGTCCCAGCCCTTCAGCCTCCGAGCCTGGACTCGAAAAATAAAGGGGAACGAAGACGAGCCTTTTTCCTTCCGTTCAGAACCCAATCCGATCCTTTTCCACCGTCCCGCCGATAAGCAACGCCTCTGCCTGTTTTATACCTAAACTTAGGGTCAACCGTGTCTCAGCAGAGGGCGTCCAGCCAGTGCTAAAAAGCCTAAAAGTGCGCTGCTCCAGTTCGCCAGTCAGCGGCCTCTTCGCTGGGGAGCTGGTCATCCGCCTCGACTTGCCGCCCCAGGAACCGGCACAAGGCCTCGCTCAATCTCTGCAATTCCAACGTCGAGACGGAGAGCAGAGCAGAGCCCTCACGCCTGAATCGCGATAGCCTCGCCCACGACCATAAACCGCCAGCCCGCCGCCCAGATCGCCAGCGCGTGTGTGCTTCTCGTCCCCCGGGCGGCTGCCAGACACCGGCAATGTCGACGCCTACCACGGCTCAGGTAGCCATAACGCTCCCTCACTACCGCTACCTCCACCACCCGCCCTCGTACTCTTCCAACTATCGCACAACAACCACC